TAGACTTGGATGAAGTGCAAGGCAAGTTGGAAGACATGCTACTCTGAAGAGGAGATGCAGTTGGGTCCAGCTTGCAATGGGTTCCAAGCTGAGGGGGTGTGTCAGATGGTAAGCCAGTTTATGGACATCCTATCTAGGACTGAAGAGGAGGACTGGGAGAAACTGTCTGTACCGGTACTGTCTGAGAATATGTGGCTAGTGATTTTGCAGTGGCTAGTGCCCTGCACAGCCTTGGTGCCCAGAGAAGGAACATCAAAACCGGTGTCAGGCCTCAGCCTCACCCACACAGGTACATACCTGAATACAATCAGTCAACCCATCTTCAATCAATCTTTCTGTCACCGTGACATCTTCAGATACCATCAAATCTGACAATACCCTTACTCATCTACCTCGAATTCGAACTCCCCCATCCTCTCAAGCTCCCTTAGCTCTCTTCTCGCACGATCTAGTACATCCTGCTCAATATACAAGCCACCTGCAGCGTGCTGAAAGTGCTTCCTTGCAAATCTGTCGCACTTACTCTCACTCACCGCAGCTCGCAGAAAAGCCCTAAAGTCACCACCGTAACGCTGCCGTACATACAGGTAATTCCGCTTAATCCATGCCTTCAGCACTCCAAAAGTGAGCTCGATTGGGTTGTAGTCTGGTGAGTACGGTGGCAGATACTGTACAGAATAACCAGCTGATTCGATTAGGTTGCGCACCTCGTCGTTGGTGTGGATTGACACGTTGTCAAGCACAATAACCAGTGCCTTTGGCCCATATATAACTCGGAGAGATGGCAGCAGAGTTTCTTCCAGGTATGCAATGAAGTCTTCATGGTTGAAATAACCCTCTTTAATGGCCGTACACCCAGGGAGATAACCAGTAATTGTATAGGCAGGGAGGATCGCCCACGTACTCCCACGGGAGATATCTTGTGTATAGCGAGTCGTCGTACCTACAGGGCCGTAGGCCATGTGCCTCCATCCAGTCTTCTCATTAAAGATAGATTCGTCCAGGAAGATGATATCTTCAGCGGCGTAACGCCTCATTGTATTACGGTAGTAAGCTCTGAGCTCTTCGTTTCGATTAATACTAAATGGCCACAGTGTACGATGACTCCATCCTTTGCACGCGAGAAACCGAGATACGTTTGACTGGGTAATCCGGACGCCTCTCTCCACCCACAACCAGTGTGCAATCTCATCCTGGTACATCCATCCTGAACAGATTAGATGGCGAAACAGCGCATCTGAATCTTCATCCGATATATGAGGTGGATGGCCGAGTCGCCCACGTATAGGTGCCCGGACTGAGCCATGGTTCTGGATGTTGTTGGCTACATTATACACCGCCCGTCTATGGCAACCTTCACGCTCCACGATCGCCTGTTGAGGCCATCCTAAGAGGAGGAAGCGAGCTATATTTAAACATGTACGATTGCTTAAACCACGGGTGCTTATAACAGGTGGAAGAGGGCGCTCAGATACCGTAGGTAGAGCGGAGACTCCATACGGGCGAGGCATCACTTTCACACGTCAGCACTGCAACACCAGGGTATTGCCTAATCGGGCGATACTCACTGCAGTTTCAGCTTCAATTTGACGCGTTAAATCACGATATATATGGAGTTCTTAGGTGGTTATGTTACTGTCCTCGGCTCCATACATTTTTAGGTGAGGACCAAGACGCGAGCCGAAATGCCAAGGAGCGTCGGATTAACGCATACAATAGATGTGTCTGTGTTGTGACCACCGCCGCAGTGCCATTGTCGCATTTGCAGTGTCGTTCTGGGTTTGATTAGACTGGCCGATTTGTCCTCGAATGTACCGCGTGCCTAGTTCAAGTATGTCAATCATTCCTTCAAGCGGTTGCTGTTGCGTCTCAAGACCATAGGTAGCTAGTGTTACATCAACGTCAGCAGCGGTAACGTGCCATTTTTGGGAATTGGAATCCGTGTTGGAGGAGTTCGAAGTAGATCCAAGCAACAGAGTTGAGTCATTAGCCGCGAATGCTGCATCTTCTTCAAAAACATGACTTGCTGGATCTGGTAGGGGTGCGCCTGCGGCTGTCGAATTGCGGGAAAAAGCTGCATTTAACGCTTCCGAAAAAGTTGTAGAATCTTATGCTGCAAATTCATTGCCACCGGGCATCTTGACTGTAAGGGCTCCGGTCGTCATGTCAGGGATAAACTCAATCGCCTCGAACCCGTATTCAGTTAAGTTGGCAGTCTGGAACTCCGCCGAGCTCAAGAGAGCACTGACAGACGAGCTCATACCCATGATATCTTCGTCAACAGAGCTACGCCGCCACGGCGTACCAGGATTGATGGTGTCCAGGACCGGACCATTATCATAGTAGATTCTGCCGGCCCAGGGATGATTGGCGCCACTCCTGTCAAATCTGAAGTAGAACTCAATAGCACTGTCATAGTTATAGTTCTCAGTGCCGATCAAGAGTTTTGCGTCATCAACTGCTTTCGTATGCAACATCGTCCCCAGCCTTCCATGAAGGAAACCTTGCCAGTTCTGCTCAGAGCCCCGGGCATCGGCCGGATTATTAGTGCTATCGCAGCTACCATGTGTCAGTTTTCAATAAATTCCTTCAAGGCTTTCCGTCAGTCTTCAATGGCTTACGTTGCATGGATTGGGGCGCAATATGTTGTGCCTGGGGATTGGTGGTTCGGTCCATCTCCGCCTTCAGCCCAAGAGGCAGGCGGAAACTCATCGCAACTGTAAGTACGGCCTGATGGCCGTAGCGCTCCAACAAATTGCGAGTCTCTGCCGTCCTCAATCATTAGAGATAGCTCTGCCGGTGCGCCAACATGGATTATAGTAGGCCATTTGAGGCCAGTCACAGGTCTTCCATGATCGTCCCACAAAGGAGGTACAACTTGGGGTCGGTTGGCCTCAGGGCATCTATGCCGGAGTCAGTTCAAGTATCGTTGAGATTTGAACATGCGCAGTAGGGACCTAAAATATACCTCGGCCGTGCATACGTCCCTTTCCAGTTGGGCGGACACATCCGCGCCCTCCGCATGTTCTGCGGGGTTTCATTGTTAAGGTGATTTTGAGTCTGATGATTGCCAACATCCCAATGGAAAGTGCGTGGATTATTGACTGGCGAGATCAACCCGTTCTGTGCGTGCCACTGGGCCACATTGTTGCATATAGCCGGCATTTTGTCACAGTTATATCTGACTCGGATTAGAGGGCAAATACAGCAAGGGTTGAATAGGGGTTTTCACTCGAGTACAATCTAGAAAAGTATTCGCGTCAACCATCTGAGCAGGACGGATAGGAAGGGAGCCACCGTGATGAATACACATACCGGACGAGGGAGGCGGATAACGGGCTGGAAATCGAACTGGTCCTCTCTTCGCCAGTGAGGAGCTTGGATCCAAGCGCCGTTGGCGATTTGTACGGGACGCCATTGCGTAACTTGGTTGAACTGAGCCTGAACAGGTTGATGAGACAGAAGTAGGCACGACAGCAGAAGATGAACTGCTTCATGTAACTTCACCTTCGCCATGATATTCGCAGTCGGCAGCCGGACACGATGATGGCAAAGCAGCAACTACCTAGTGTAGGGGCCAGGAGTTATAAGCCTTTGACCAAGGAACACTTTGCACATATATAGTGATGCTTTAATATCCTTGTACATACATCAATGTGGTCAAGTGGTGCAACATTCGGTGGAATCACTGACCAGACGTTTAAAGCAGACGTACAACTGACTACTCATACATATTGAACCGTGCCACCAGTCCATAACCGTTTGACCCGGATTCCCTGTCGTATGATAGTAAGCAATAGCCAAGTCGAAGCTCGCGATGCCGCCACGCATTGTTGCATCTACATTTGGGGGCCATGTTCCTGTATTGCCCTGATGTGTTAGGCTCGGAATCCTTAACCTAGATGGAGCCTATTTGCTTTTCGCCTGGCCCAGAACTCTTCAACAGAGATTCCTAATTCGCCTATGAGGAAAGTGGAGATGTTCAGCCAAGCGCGGTCATTCAAAGTTTGCGCATGTATATGCTTGAGGAAGATTACAGGAGGTTGCGTACGACCCGTGTTCTCGGTAGCGCTGACAGGAGCCGTACCCGTTGGGTTTGGGATGGCATTCTTCTTATACGTGATGAGAATTTGCTTGTGCCATGGCTGATCCAGGTGATCGTGGAACCCAGTTACGACGTCCTTTACTGTAATTGGGCGTCCATCTGTGTTTTCGATGAGGAACCCTTTGTATTCGAACCCGTACGTACACATGTAAAAATGAACACCGGCAGAGATGTCCGAGCTGTGCACATAGGCGACGGAGACTGGTGGTTGTGCGATAGACTCTGCCGCAATCGGATGAGAGAGGAAAGGACTGAGCTTCTCCGTGCCATTTTCATCGACGCCGTCCTCGACCTCAATTTCACTTAGTTCTCCCAAGACATTCCAGTGGAGACGGGAGAAAATGAACTCCTTAACGCGGCCAGGCGGATCCCGACGGGGAGGATGTGTGGCACTATCCATGACGGTGACTGCAAGCTGATTGAAGAGAATCCAGAATCGTAACCACAGATTGTGGATGACGACGAAGTGAGAGAGTATCGGGGCGTTGTCCGGGTCTGGGCGTGTTCTTATATGTGCCGCTGCGGCGTAGTTGCTGACATTTCAATATAATGGCGGAGACAACGGGGAATACATAATCTTATGGTACGACAGTATGCTGCAACGTCAAATTAAGGTTTCTAAGCTTGCCAAGAATGCGACACCTCGCCGGCAGTGGGCCGGTCCCCGACGGGCCGACGCGTGGTGCAGTAAGGGTTTTGGTCTTCATGTTGTGCATTCTAATTATATATAATCCCGGACAACTATCCCATTTCGACGATATTGCCTCGAGAGTCCCACCGGTAGGTTGGTAGTGCTCCTAAACGCTACGCCGCAATCTCATGGATCAATTCACCGGAGCTCTACCTACCACCAATTTTCTCAATCACGAGGTAAGTCAATCTGGCGGGTTCAGAATCGGACCACAAGGTGATTTGCGCTGCCATGCTGTGACCTACACTCCCCTTTGCTAAGAGTCGATGATATTGAATTCCTCTTCGCAAACAACCTTCTTCACACCGTCTAGGTCATACTTCGAGCAACTATGCACATACTTGCCACTGTCTTTCTCTTTTCCCAACTTTGGTTTCTCCGAGCTCTAGCCATTGTGGCAGCAAACGAAGTTGTACCTGGTGAAGTTGTCTGTCGGTACAATGCTACGACGGGTCCTGAAGTCAACTACTACACTTGCACGCTGCTGTCTCTCAAGTACCAGCTCACTGTGGATAAGTTCTTTGAGCTGAATCCCAGCGTAGACAGAGACTGTGAGGGAATCAAACCAAACACGGATTACTGCGTCAGAGGCTGTACGATACCTCTGCGCTCTGCAAAATGTATTCTGAAGACTTTCCAGGGATCCAGCAGCCTATCTCCCAGGACGGTTTGTGCGGGCCGTTGCACGGCAATACTACGTGCCTTGACACAGTCAAACCCTGTTGCAACTCGGAGACGTGGAAGTGCGGCGACACCTTGTATGGAGCTCGCCCTGGAAGCTTTTATATTTCACTAACATAGCCACCAGCGACCACTGCCTTCCCGGCACTTGTTTTTCCGGAGCCTGCATGGGTTCCCCGTCAGAGTACAGTCTGGATGGGAAGTGTGGATACAGAACGACAAGAAGCTCTGTGGTGGAAAATGGGGTCAGTGTGGTACGCAGTCTGTCGAGATGTGTGAAACATGCATTGATTCTACTCACAGGTACCGGCCCCGCCTACTGCGGATTGGGAACATATCAAAGCGGCAACTGTACATTGCCTACCCCAGGAGAGACGCCCTCCGCATCTTCAATCACTAGTACCGGTGCACCAACTCCTACACCGGGATCAATTAGTCCTGATGGCAGATGTGGCTCAACGAACAGATTTACATGCAAGGGCTCTTCCTACGGAGACTGTTGCAGTAGCTCAGGTTTCTGCGGCTCAACGGCGGGACATTGTGCGTATATTATGCGAAGACTTTTGTCAAAATTTCTCATTGCTGATCAATTCCAATATCAGGTGGCGGAGGGTGCCAAAGCGCATTCGGTGATTGCACCATCACTGACATTTCTCCAGATGGCACTTGTAGGTGGCAACCATTCCCTGAACGCGCCAGAACTCTGCTAAGGTTGTATGATTCCTGTAGGTGGCGGTACCAATGAATACAAATGCAAAGGATCTGCATTTGGCGACTGCTGTAGCTTATCGGGCTATTGTGGCTCTACTACAGACCATTGTAAGTCACTCTTCTAAAAATTTTATATTCTAGGATTCTAATTTGAGTAATGCAGGCACTGCTGGCTGTCAGGCTGCTTTCGGTATTTGTACTGACGACTCTCTTTCTCCTGATGGTACGTATCATGGGACTGGGGAGAAACAAGACGCATCTTTGAGCGATCGTATGGCTATCATCTTGCTCATCCAGTGCTTTCTAATATTCCCACTACTGTGGGATTCTGAAGCTGCTGGGGACTGCCTTGTGCAAGTCGCTTCGTACGATCTCCTCGAATGCCTCATCCGTCACCCCACCCGTATCCCACACTCGAGCTGGCAGAAATCGTCGAACAGCTTCCCCGGCTAGCAAATACATTTGCTGATACGTCGCTTTCCTAGGTACATGCGGCGGCACCAAAGGCTACAGATGCAAGGGTACCTCCTTCGGGTCTTGCTGCAGTAGCGCAGGATACTGTGGGAGCAGCGCCGACCACTGCGGTGTCGGTTGTCAGTCTACGTTCGGCGACTGCTCGCTTCTTCCACCGACCAAAACTTCCGCCACACCTCCCACGCCAACCGACATATCTCAGGACGGCACTTGTGGAGGGACAAAGCGCCTCAAGTGTCACGGCAGTACCTTCGGCAATTGCTGTAGTAGTAATGGCTATTGTGGAAATGGCGTGAACTTCTGCGCTCAAGGCTGGTTCGTATCCTACTTCTCAATCTTTCTTTCCGAAAGTCCAGAGGGGAAACGAAAAAGCGCCTCTTTCCCCCTTCCCCTTCCGCTTCCTTTCATGAATTGTCCTGTTGATTCTTCCATAGCCAAACACCATTCTCGAGCGCATGCATGACGTCCAATATACCGACTTTGAACGGCGATTGCGGCGCCTCCAAGGGTGGTTTTACCTGCACCGGCGGGCCATTCGATGGGCAGTGTTGTTCCGCTAGTGGCTACTGTGGTAAGTTCATGGTACAGGCCTCTCCGAGGGATGAAGACTGACCCCCAATCCAATACCAGGCTCCACAGATGCTCATTGCAAAAGTGGTTGGTAGGTTCTCTGCCGAACCTTCTGCGATTGCGGCGCTAACGTGATGTTCTATAGTCCAAGGAATTACGGCACTTGCAAATAGGCTAGACTCTCCTGCCAAGTCGGTCAGGCTAGGCGCGTCATATCATGTCAGTTAAAGTACTAGAAATGGATGGAAAAACAATAGATGTGCCCCCTAGCCCCAGAAATCTGATAAAAGCTCGCGAGATGAGCAATTGTTTCGAAGTCCGACACGATAGACTTTATGTTTACTATAGCAGACTCGTTAGGTTTTGGACAGGTAACCTACTAAGACATAAGGCGGAGCCGTATGACCATCGATGTAAACAGAAAAGGCATTCCGAAAATCCCATTGACAGACATTGGTATACTACGCCAGTACAAGAAGCCATGAAAGTACCGATCCCACTCGTAAACCCCCATGCCTACACGAAACCCGTGCAAAAAGTGAGACAGTAATGTAGATCTGCATACCGACTCCGAAAAGGAACATATTCGTTCGCAACTCGCACAACCGATATACCCGAAAACACATGGTAAAAGAGAAGACTCACATACCGGACGCACCTCCGCCATTTCCCCATCCTCACACGCATCTACTGCTTCTGCATGCCCTCTACAAAATCCAGCGCCGCTTCGCGGTCCACCACATCAATACTGCTCGTCTTATTCGAATAGCTGACACCATAGCACTTCTCCGCTACAAGCACCATCTCCGGCCTGAAAGTCGTGCAGATAAACTGGCCGCCGCCTTCACCACTCTCTCCACCCTTGCCGCTCAACTTCTTCAGCATCTCTGCTACAGCTGTGCGGTACTGTGCGTCCAGGTTGGCGTCGATTTCGTCGAAAAGATAGAAGGGCGCGGGATCGCATTGCTGAATGGCGAACACGAGGGCGAGAGCACAGAGTGACTTTTGACCGCCAGAAAGCTGCTGGATGCGCTGCTGTTCATCATGCTTCGAATTGAATGACACGGAGATGCCGACACCGATGTAATTCTCCACGTTGGAGCGCTTATGCCTGGAGGCGGCGCCGTTGCGTCGGTCCCCCTGGTCATCGCTTTCATCGTCGTAGCCGTTGCGGCGACCCGCTTCTTTATCGCTCTTGCGCTGGATGACAAGCATGCCTCTACCGGCGGGGACAAGCTGCACGAAGACCTCGGCAAATGCTTTCGATACCTGCTTGAATGTACGCTCAATGGCTTCGTCCTTGCGTTGATCGAGGATGCCGATGAGGTCTTCGATGGCTTTCCTAGACGTGTCCAGCTCGGCCTGGCGGTCAGTGAGGGTGCGTCGCTGCTTGGTGAAATTCTCGTATTGTTCGAATGCCTTCTTGTTAACGTGAGAATACTTCTTAAGCGATTCATTGACCTTTCGTAGACGTTGGGATGCCTGTATGATGTTAGCGAGTAGCTTAGCCGCTAGTATTGCATAACATACCTTCTCTGGCGACCACTTTCCGTACGTTGACCAGGCCTCCTCCGGTAGCGTACCAAGCTCTCTGATCTCCTTCTGGACTCTTGCCAAGTCCTCCATTGCCTGAGCACGATCCTGCATACTCCTGTCCATGCGTTTCTGGTTCCTCTCGATGGCTCTAGCAAGCTCGCGGTTGGTGTTCTCTTTCTCGGCCTTTGTCGCTTCAAGCTCCGATAACTGGGAGCTAAGCTTCTCGATCTCATGTTCCGCCTGTGCAATCTTCTCGTCATAGCTGGCAAGCGTGCGATTGATACTCTTCAGTGACCGCTCGCACTCTTTCAGTTTCGTTGACTGATTACCTGTCCCGCCAGCTCCATGTTCCTGAGAAAGTAACTGGTCCAGGCTCGGTTGCAGATTCTCACGAAGTTCGACTTCGATCTCTGTCTTCCTACTCTCGAGGTCTAACCGTTCGGCGGAAATCTTGGCCAGCTGGCGCCGTAGGTCTTGCACCGCGGATGCAAGTGTAGCGAGCAATTGTTCCTCCTGCGTTGACAAAGCCTTCTTGAACTCTGACCCTAATTCTGCTTCGAGATCGCTCTGCCGGGCTCCTAGATCGTTGATCGATGACTCCAGCTTGGAAGCTGTTCGGCGGCTTTCCTCCAATGACTCCTGCTTGTTTTGCAGCTCTGCCTGCTTTGCCCGCAATTCTTGTCTCAAAGGACCGTAACTGTTTTCCACCTGATTCATCTGTCCCATGAGCTTACGCAGGTCGCTTTGCGAAGCGGTGATAAGCTGTTCAAGTTTCTCCAATTCTCGTTTGATCTCTGATTTGCGGGCGCTGAGCTCATCGACTGCATCGCGCAACTGTTTGACATTGTGCACAGCATCAAGGCGTGATTTGGAGGGATCGGCCCATCCACCATATAACGCACCCTTCTTTTCCGCCTTGTCTCCATCGGGGGTGAGTGCCTTCACACCGTGGGTACGAGCATAGCCAGCGGCGATCGTCAAATCCGGACATATGATCACATTACCGAAGATTGACCTGAACGCAGGCTCAAACCTGGGATCGTATTCGATTTTCTGTAACAGGGGTTGGGCATCAGTCGACTTGGGAAGCTGTGGATTCTTCGGTTTTATGCCAACAAGGGGTATGCAAGTCACACGCCCTCCTTTCTCCTTGTTAAGCAGCTCTACGACTCTGGTAGCAGTGTTGGCATTGTCGACGATAAGATGGAACAGGCTATTCCCAGCACTGACTTCCGCCGCGGTCTTGTAGTTGCTATTGACCTTCATCAGCTCAGCAACAGTTCCGTAGACTCCACCCAACTGATGCTGCGTCTTCAAACGCCGGAGCGTCTCTAGTCCTCTGCTGGTATGATGGTCCATAAGATGCGACAATCTGCTCTCAGCCGTCTGGAGTTGGGATTTGGCGTTGGAAAGTTGTGATGTGATTTTCGCGTCTTCTCTCCAGAGCTCCTTTCTCTGGTCTACAAGACGCTCGTTCGCATCTTTAGCTTTCTGTACCTGCGCCGCATGATTTTGAGTGTTATCACTCTGGTTTTCGATCGTCGTGCGGAGGCTGGCAATATCGCTTTCTAGCTTTTTCACCTCCTTCTGCAAACTGGATACCTCCTCGTTTGTCTCCATCAGTACTGCTTTCCTGGTGGCGAGGTCCATGTTGAGCTCATCAATCTCAGCGCGCAAGGCGTCATCTCGCTGTTTCTTGTTCTTGTAGTACGCCGTTCGACCTTGTTTGTCCTCTAACCGTTTTCGCTGACCTTCGGCTTCCGCCAGTTGTGACCGGAGATCATTCTCTTCATCCTTCTTGGCTGCATAATGAGGAAGGATCTGGGACAGTTCGTCCTCTCGTGCCTTGATCTGCTGCTGGATGTTCTTGAGATTTGTATCGTGTTGCTTTCGTGCCTTTTGTGCCGCGGATTGCCCGTCAGTTAACTCTCTATATTCCAGCTCGATCTTGGCTTTGCTCCGTGCGGAGTCTCTTCGATCCGCCTCCAGCTGTTCTCGCTCGTCTTTAAGAAGGTCGATCTGGGCGTTGAGCTGGTCAATCTCATTATCGATCCGCTTCATCTCATTCTCGTTCTCAATGAAAAGGTCCCGGTTGGTGTCCGTATCGACCATTCCATTCTGCCGCCGCGCATCGATCTCTGCGATCTTTTCCTCGTAGGCGATCTCATCTTGTCGGTTTATGACATAGAGCAAGCACCGCTTTTCGCGGTCTTTCTTGTTGTAGTCCTCCAGCTCTTTCCGCTCATCCTCGAGTTCCTCAAGACGTTTCTCAATTTCCTGAACGAGTTCATCGATCTTCGCGCGCTTATTGTCCGTATCCGTCAAAAGCTTCAAACTGTCTGTTCGCCGCGTCTCGTAGACATTTGAGCCGGAGATCTCCTTCAGCAGATTGAGTCGCTCCACATCCTTCATGTTTGTGAGAGCCGTCACACGTCCCTGCGGCACAATGTAGTATGGATTGGATCGTGAGAAGCCGGCCGATTCGAGAATTTGTTGCACTTCAGCCTTGGTCGCGTTTTTCCCGTCGATGGAGTACTCGTCTTTCTTCTGACCGATTGTGCGGCGCAGGTGGAATTCAGGGCGACCTGTGTGGAAACGGTCCTGGCTGTTGTCAAAGCACACCTCGACGTACGCTGACATCACGGCGGAGCCAGAGCCTTCCTAGGGACTTGTTAGGCCAATTCATGTCCCATAAAGTCAACTTAACATACATGCAGAAGTGCCTGCCGTTCCTCCCTGCTCATATGGTGGTAGTCATCGCCCAATACGAATCGTACGGCGGCGAAGAAATTACTCTTGCCCGATCCATTGCGGCCGACAATGACATTGCTTTTGGGGGAAAACGGTTCGATCTTGGTTTGCTCCTTGTAGCTGGTAGATACCATGTCAGCGCTTCCAACATCGGAGCATGAGGCGGAGTCTAACCTTTTGAAGCCTTGAATGGTGATTTGTTTGATATAACCCATGACTGCGGGGAAGGCGAGCTGCCAGCACGCCGCTGTCGATATGTAACAGCAAGTTCAGGGTCGTGTAAGAGAAGAATAAATCCTATGGAGTTCGCGACACAGTAAGCATAGCGGGCGGAACCAGAGCGGGGATGAATAAAACCTGGAGCTGGCGGCGGGCTTCTGCTCTGATCGTGGAGACGCGCCGGAAGACGCGCGAGAGGTAGTGCCAAGAACAACGTCCGAAGAGGGTTTAGCGTGGTTCTTCACAGCTCTGCCGTGTCTACGGGAGGAGACACATGGATCTATCCTTTTTTACGTATACTTGTAAGGGTAATGTGATCGCAATCGTAGAAGAGGAAGCAACGAGCTAGAAGCAATTTCGTAAAACCAACCGTTGATACTTCAGATGCGATTGCAACAACTCCTAGACAAGGTAAAGTAATTTTGGGAAGAAGCTGGAGATGATCAAGCACGATCGTCTCATCTACAGAGCAGGAGCCGTATCAAAAGGATGGCACCTCTGGATCTGTCAAGTTGTATGTGCGAGCCGTAGATGTCAATATGCCAATACTCGATTGTCAGTCAATATGCAAAAGATGCTATCGCAAAGGCTACCATATATGCATGTCCTAGAACGCACATGCCAATTGCTTTTTGCAAGTATATACAGAGGTCTAGATTTGACACCCGCATTATGCCCAAGCCCAAGATCAAGACAAGAATAACCCAAAATGGACACCTCAGTTCATAGAAAAACCAAGCTGTTGAAAGAAGCAAACACAGAGATTGAGTGGACCGACTTCCCCTTCGCTACGCTCTTCACAGTTTGCACTGAAAAGAATCCCTTAGTAAACGAACATCACAGCAGCGGCAACGAGGATGGCGAGAACGCTGGCCTTGTTGTTGCTCGCAGCGCCAGGGAATTCCAGAGGGGCCGAAGGCGTCGGAGCGGAAGCATTACCAGATGGCAAAGCAGGAAAGCCACCGGTCGGGAAGGGCACGCTGGGCGGGGGGTTGGTGTCCGTCTCAATGCCACCGGTTTGGTAGGGAGGGAACGAGGTAACGGGGTTGTCGACAGGAGGCTGAGCAGAAGGAGTAGAAGGCAAATCCGCACCATAGCCGGAGCTGGTGATGAGTGTGGTGGGAGTCTGGGCTGGAGGTGGGACACCAGTCACAGTCACCGTGGCAATGTCATCGCAATTGCAGGGCGTCTCGTGAGCCGTGCCGTTGTGGCCGATCGGGGTGGTAGGATAAGGTGGCTGTTCCTGGCCGTCCGTGCAGGTCGTAGACGGTTCTTGAGGCTGAGGAACGGCGCCGGATTCGGACGGCAAGCTCGATTCCTGAGGGAAGTCAGACTGCTCAGGGATGCTAGATTGGGTAGCAGTTGCAGATGGCTGATCCTGGCCGTCCGTGCAGGTCGTAGACGGTTCTTGAGGCTGAGGAACGGCGCCGGATTCGGACGGCAAGCTCGATTCCTGAGGGGAGTCAGACTGCTCAGGGATGCTAGATTGGGTAGCGGTTGCAGATGGCTGCGGGGCTTTGCCAGTAGCATCAATACCTGACTGCAAAGACCCCGTAGCGGAAGCCGTTGGAGCGAGCGTTACGCTGTTCTCGGGAGCACCATTCACATCCCCTGCCCCCACGACTTCAATGGATTGCCAGCTGCCGCTCTTGTCGGTCCATTTGTATTCCTTGCCTGGGGAGTAATTCTTGACCTTGACGCTCTCAACAGTCATGGTGAAGGGCGCCTTGCTGTAATCCGTGGGGCCTTCTGCCCACTCAATGACACCCTTTTCGTTACTAGGATCGCCTCCGGCCCAGATGCCCAATCTCACGGTGCACGGGGTCTGAGGATAATTTCTACCCCCATTGGCTTTGGGGTCGGCGTAGTTGAGCGTCCTAACGGGCTTGCCATCGATGAGGTAAACGAGCCTCTCGGCAGTCCAGTCCAGAGCATAGGTGTGCATCTCGGGTTGGGCATTGGAGACACCTACCTCGATCATTCGGTCGTAGGTCGTTGTGTTTCCTTTGCCGAAGAAGTTCGTTTGAACCGAATTCGGATGGGTGCCTAGGAATTCCCAATCGACCTCGTCCAGGTCCTCGGACTGCAGCACGATTGACGAGATAATGCCTTGGCCAGGACTGGCCTTCATCTTGACCTCGACGTATCCAAAGAAAAGATAGGCCTCTGATTGGATAGTAGGGGCATCTCCCCTCTTGTTTATCGTAAACTGGGCGCCTTCCTGGGAATAGGTCAGGGACCCGGCAGTCTGCTTCCAGCCCCGTACGGATTCAGCGCCCTTGCGGAAGTCGGTGTCGAAAGTGGCCGCCATGGCTGGGTCATTCGGGCAGTCTTTCTTGGTGGGGTCGCACTGGGTGAAGGTCTGCGCGCAAGCAAGCCCGGCGAAGGCACCTGCAATGGTAAAAAGAGTGAAACGCATCGTGAAGGTCGTATGCGAAAGGCTGGGTATTCGAGGAAAAAGATACAGGAAAGAGAGCTGTTGGATGAAGAGATCGTTTTCAAGAGTTGAATATCCTAATCCTCACGGAAGATGAGGACAGTAATGATCGTGGCTAGCGGCGGTGAAGGGAAAAGAATGGACTGTTCGACAAACGCTCCGTCTGAGCAGATGGACAATGCCGCAGGGAGTTTACGTCGGTGAAAGAACGAAGAAAAGGACAAAGCGCGACCTGCGTTTAAAGGGGGAAGGGAAAAGTAAGCGAGAGGGTGAGAAGAGGGAGAGGAGTTGGTTAAAGATAGGGATTCGGAAAGGGGAGGGGGCGCCGGAGGTTACCATGCCATGCACATCAGCGAAACGGCCCATCAAAAGAGACTCTGCAAAGCAATTTCCGTTGCGCAAGGAAGGCCGCTCCTGGCCGGCCATTCTTGTTCAGTGCCACCTGCCACCCTGCCACCTGCCACCCTGCGCCCAGCCGGTGCGCGTGGATGGGCGACCTGAGTGGACGAGAGACGCATTCTCCGTTGTTTCGTGAAACAAACTGCGGTCTCAGACGCTCCAGGGTCCCGCCGCCCAGTTCGGGAGAGCAACCAATCAATTCCGCGCCCTGGTTTGTTTCAGGCGGCGCCGACCGAGAGCCACTCAGCCCCGTTGCGCGTCTCCTTCTTTCGCATGAGCCTCACGCAGCCCCTGAATAATCCCGGTGTTGGTGGTGTTGCGATTTTGTTGGTCCACCTCCGTGGGGCGGTGCTTGTGGCTCTGCTACCTCCCAATCTAACTGTCTGTACTCCGCCGAAAGCCCACCGGCACTCCAATAATGATTCACATACTCTGTACAGTGTGCTCCGTATCTCAACATGTGTTACCGTAGTCCACGTCGGCCAGATGCTTGTAGATCTAGAAAGGAGACCGCCTGACCAGAAGCCTCGAGAATACGCACCACGTTCGTGCATGAGCCTTCTAGTAGTTGACTTGTTCTCGAGGTAAGGATCGATGCTGGAAGTCCGAACTCCCAGGAATTCGGCAACATGACTGAAGCCATGATGCAATCGTCAGCGTACCCTCGTGCAGACGTTGTGCAACGTGCTGGCGACGCTGCCCTCTTGCACGTCTTTGCATGGTTGATAAAACAAGTGGGAGTATTTCTCTTTGTTGATTGCCACAGTAAAGTAGTTGCAAAGTAAGTACAGTCGGAAAAGTCTGTCCCCAGCTACTTGCGTATCTCACTCGTAATATTGGACCTCCGGACTTCGCAGAACGGAACGCACTCTTGTCAGCTGCAAACCTCCGGTTGGCATGTGGTGCGAGTAGCTTTGCCCAGCCATATCTGGGGCCTATGGATCCTTGCTGGGGTGTCCGCCGTCCTCCGACCGTGTGGCCTGAGGTAAAGCAAAACGCCGGTGTTCCCCTATTTGCGCGTTATGGTGTGGTGGAAGGATTGTCTGTTCCTCTGGTGCACAGGTAACAATACAGGTCAATAAAATGCCATGCTGGTCCCAACAGGAGTTGTCCCATAGCTGGTGCATCACTGTCGGGCTCATCTTAACGTTGTGGAAGATCTCAGCGTTTATTCTCCTGCTCTTCTACTCGCTATGATGACACCACTTGCAGTTCAATGAATCGGCGTTTGCGCCTCCCCAACACACTATTCATCGGCATAGAAGCACTCCGCAAATGGCCTGGTGGCTCCAACGCGGCCACCCCTACCTGATGAGTGCGTACGGAGTACACTGGACTGGGGTAATGTCACACTGGGTCGTTCAAGCCTTTGGTCGGGCCATGGCCAATTGGCCATATGGCGCTTGATAACATATTCGGTGGACACAGCGCAGCATCCCACGGGCTTGGAACCTTGCTTCGGCTCGGTCGGTTCGCCACCATGCGACGATGGAACCGCCCATGGACCGACGAGTAAATATGAATATGAGAAGGACCCATAGCCGCTGACGACAAGAGCACTCTCTTCTTCGTCGAAGATAATAGAAGGTGCCGGCTGGGAGCGCTACAAGTTCATGTTACGGGCTCTCGATTATTGAACTGTCGGTGCGCAGGATGGAATCCTCCAGGGATGACCCTCAACAGGGCACTAAACGCATACGTCAGCACCAGTCGTGTTCGTTCCTCTTCCACTATCAGGTTCTTCCTGATGAAGGCTCAGTACTCTCTTTGATCTGCATTCGAAAACCTGCAACATGACGCCACTTCTTCACCTGGGTTATGTTGCCAAAACCGCAGGGTGATTCCATGGGCAGTTACCAGATTCGCTATGTTCAAGTGTAGGAAGAAGTCATCACAGCCATTGTGAAAACACTCGTTTCTAATGAGAGATTGCGCCTCTCTCAAAGAAGAAACTTACCTGAGCTCATACTTGTCGGCGATATGAACATCGCTCGGGGTGGGTCCCGCCGGCTGCTCCGAGTTGCCGCATCTGAGCTTCGTGACGTCTAGTGCCCTAATAATTGCGACAAGGAGTCAAAGTAAAGCGGCTTGATCAGCTAGATGAAGAGGCAGAAGATGGATAGGACTATGGCGGGTGGAGGTGGGTTGGAACAAGGTTATGGCGCTAATGGCCTTGGCATCCTTTTTGGGGTTTGGAAACTCACAAGGTCACTCATTCACCTTCACTTGCAAAAATCAACGACACAAGATCTCATCGGAATGATGCCTTTTCTTATTGATATACATACTCATGATATAGTCTCAATACCGCATGGCATGAATGACACAGAAACACACGCCAACGCTTCTATCGAATCCCAATATGCAGATGAGAATACGAACTCATCGAACAGCTCACATGCGCCTACATCCTGCTGCCACCTTGCAAACTTGGCTAACCATTTGCATACAGATAACTGATCTACTGCATCAGTGCGCGAGGTCGCTCCCAAAAGGTATCATCCAACCTCATGTCCGGCCATCCTCTTCGCTGTGGGTACTGCTTCAGTGACGACCCGCCAACAGGCATATAGCCATTGACGTGGAAACGAAGAAGGCATACAGAAAACCGTGAGCGCCGAGCAGAGTCCGAATGATAATCCAAGGAATAGGGCGCAAGTGCACCAGTCGCCAAATCACATTTCCCTCGCCAAAGATCCAGATGTCAACGCCTTGAAGGAATGCTGCTGCTTGGGGACGCCATCTCGGTACTAGCGCTTCGGCACAGCCTACAGTGGTGTTTTCCAGAGCGGAAAACACTATCTGAGTGCCGGCGGAAACCAGAGCTAGACCGAAGATGTAGATAACGGCGATGACAGCGTGTACCCATGAATGCAGCTCGACGACATCGCGCAATAGGCGGAGACGTTCCGAAATCGTAATCTCGCCACGTACAAGCGCGTTGCGTAGATGGTATGTCTTCCGTGGGTCGTCGTCCCTATGCATCGCGGCCAATAGATCATCAAAGGCGTCGAAGAACTCAGACCGTGCGAGCCAGAGAAGAACTTGATCGATTTTGCTGGCGAATTGCAAGGCAAGCCTCTGCCGGCACAAGAGGCATGCCGCTTCAGGATTTGTTGCGTTCCATTTGCTCAGACACTGAAAGCCCACGACGTGACCGCATGGTTTCAGCTTTATGGCATGACAGCCAACGGGGTTGAATGGAGCGTAAGGCTGCATACAGATGAAGCACTCGTCGGATGCGGTAACGTCCGCGTCGGTATATTGAAAGTTCTTGGCCATGTCCGCCCCGATAGCTGCGCGAAGGGGGACGGGCTCCATCTTTCAGCACTCTGTGTTGCGGGGTGACACTCAAACCGGTTGAGTTGGGTTGCGTCTTGCAGAGATGCGGATGGAAAAGTGTAGAACAGGCGTGGCAATTTATATGTGGGAAGACGTCTGTAACAGTTGCCTACTATGTTCATTCACTGCAATGGGGTTCATGAGACATTCAGAGAGAAACATTGTTCTTTGACAAAGTAGTGGTACTTAGGCATCAGCTTTAATATAGAAGGGAAATTGATGATTCATGACTAGACTACGCGCTTAGTGTTCGTCTTGCTGTGAAAGTGCCATGCATGGAAGATAGACCTTTGGATCGCAATTGGGTATATGGGGTATACCGTTCATGCACAACAGCAGTCTAAAAATTCACGAGTTCCGCTATTCGCGAACTATCATCAATCACTATGTTGGGCAGAGTGTTACATTGTTGAGAAATGTTGAAGAAGTGTTTGTATGTATACTTATATTGTGAACTCTGATTTAGATTCACTTGGAAAGTATTGGTCAGACAGTGAAATTGTACAAATAAGTAAGCATGCATGGTGAATACCAACTGTCGTCTAGCAATTGTTATCTTGTTTCTTCTGTATACACTTCATGGCCTCATGGCGTCTCGGTGTCCTGGCTACCCAGAGAACGCTATGTACTTCTGCACCCCATCCTTCCCGTTAATTCGGGAGATCTCGCTGGTTAGCTATGTTTGCTGGAATTGGTTCCGATAAACGTTGGTTGTACAAGTGGCGGACCCGTTCCAGAAGATAGTCCGCCCTTGCTCGAGAAAAAGGATTCCTTTCCAAGGCGAGCATCATGCAGGCATTGAATTCGTTACTGAGTGGAGGGCACGGCTGCGGAACCCCCACAATTGGCATCCACGGAAGTGGTGGCTGCTGATGTACTGGAGTGACTATCCTTTCCGCAACGATCTGGCAGTAAAGATAACGCCGCCCGATCGGCCAAGTAGGCCAACGATATGCCAGTAGCGGCTCATTGGACCGTTCTGGTCCAACCTTCTGATGATATCCGGAACACTTTCGATGGGATACTTTCCGTGAACGAGTTGGTGAATAACGGCCCCAATAGCCCAGATGTCCGCAGGTGGTCCATACGGGGCGGAAGTCCATATGTACGCGGGATTGCGCATCTCGGGAGGCCAACAGATGGGATATCCCAAAGCCTCCGGTTGCAAATTTGGGTTCTCCAGAAAGAATGCAGCATTTCCAAAGTCACCAAGCTTGACTAGAATATCCCCACGGTCGGCTCGGTCCCCCAAGTGTTTTACGAGTATATTACTTGGATGTATGGCTCTATGAACCATACATCTCCAGTGGCCATTTCCAGGAGGTTTTCTGTTCCAGTCCGTCGGGCGTCCCATTCCCTCGTGCAGAAAGGCAAGCGCAGCGCTAAGCTGCACAAATATGCTCAACAAACAGGTTTCATTGTGCACGATACAAAACTGGCCACTCGAGTACGTAAGCCTTGCAACGTACGACAAGCTTCTCCACGGACAGTATTCCAGTATCAGCTCTGCGGTATCCGCTCTTCCTGACATTATCACTCCTTTGCATTGTATAATAGCTTCATGAAATGGGAGAGCTCTGAGAGCAGAGATCTCGTTCAGAAGTTTGCGTAAACCCGATATGTTCGTTGTAGACCACCGGGTTGTCGATGGAGCGTCTTTGTAACGCCATTGCTTTACCGCGACCGCTTGACCCGAGTCTGGGTTTCGGTAAAGATATATGATACTGTTATCGCTTGTCACAAGGGCTCTGCGCTTCTGATAGGACTGCCAGTGGGTACGAATATTGTTACTGGAGTGAACCAAAGTGAATCGGCCATGTAGTTCCGGAAACCGGCCGTCCAAGGACTGTGGGACGTTTGGCATCGGCATATGGCTCCATGGGTGAGCCATTCCCTAGTTGGTGAGAGTTTCGACAATTCGAGCGGTGGATCGTACGCGGAAATCATCTAAATTGAAACTAGTAGATGTGAATACTCGTGTCAATGTGTCTGCGACCACGGGTAGGATAGGGTACGAGGTATGATGACCTACCGGCGGAGCTTATATAGCGGTATTTCTGGGCTCTGTCTGCCGTTGACGTAGCCCATCTAATCAATACATTATCAATTGTCAAGTGAGTGCATACCAGCCTGTGGTGCAAGTCAAAGAGTCATGAGTTGACCGTGGCGCCCAAGCAAGCAGCTGACAGCCCGGAGAAAAAATGCCGCTGCCTCTGTGCACAGTTTCGGCCGCCAGATTGGAAGTCGCAGGTTTCCACCTTCCCAAGTGTTAGGATAATATTCAGGAAGCACATGTTTTAGATCTGCTAACGCACGACCTAGTAACAGCTAATGAGGAGTTATTAAGGCGGCAATAATATCTTGCTGGTGCGGCTCTGTCTCTGCGCGCACAGTCTCTGCCAACGCTCACACATGATTTGGACGTGGGCGGCTGGTAACTTTTACCACCTCGACACACAATGGGCAGGAGTGCATAAACTTGGGCAAAGCACTGATGAGTCGACCAAGCATCTAAGGCACTTTCAGGTAGAAGTCCGTATGCGTACCGACCGCGAACAGTGCTCCTTCCGATATTGTAAGGATCCGATGGAAGCAATACAGCCAGCATGCAATTGGGTCTCAACGGCCTATCTTCTATTTATGTTGGCGCACTTCCTTTTTGTGTCTTTTTTTGCAAAAATAGAAAGGCAAGCATTCGCAGTTCACCCTTGAGTTGTACAGGCTACTCGGCCAGTTTTTCCATGAAATGATTTCGCCCATTCGAGAGAAAGTCGGAGTTTACTGTTAACCCTGCAACCAACGCAATCGTGGTCGTGGCCGTGGCCGCTTGAGGATACTGCCTATCCAGATCACTTCGCGGTAGGGCATGATTAGCTTGTTATACCGGCACGTAACATTCTGAACCCGTGGATTCTGTTCAATAGATTAGATCAGCTACGCGCTTTATTGCTCATTCCTAAAGCAAACTGTTACGGATCCTCTGGACACTCCCCCGAGCCGCAATCCCTTTCCCGTCTTTAGTTTTTCACCCACTCATCACCCCGTATCCTCGCTGTCTCCCCTTCCACACTCCCCCTGTCTCCTCCTCTCCCAATCCACTTAACGCCACTACGGCACCTGAGTCCCTAAAGCTGGCTTGATGGTGAGTTAGTGTACATTAGTCTCACAACCGCCTATTTTCTACAACGAAACGACCGCAAAAACCCGAAGTTCACCGAAGTTTCAAATCCGAGTCTCGGCTGAGTTATGCTTCTGCTCTTGCTGTTTGCTGTGTAGAGAACGCAATGAGTATGTCAGTGGGTTGAGGTGGGATGTGCAGTGTGTGGGAGATGGGAATTTTGGCATAAAACTTAGAACGATGAAGAAGAAGTGATAGGAAACCAGAGGAAGAGAGTCAATAGCGGCTTTCCTAGCTTCCTCTTTGCCCTGCTGAGCAGTCTGTACACTTACATTTCCAAAAAATACTTGGTGTTCAGGGGCAAGTATTCAAAATTCGCCACCCGCGTGACGTGTGCAGCACAGAAGCCTGGGCAGAGCTGGGCGACAGCACTTGTCAGCGTTTCAAACAATAAGTGCCTTAGATAATCTGAGTATCTTGCAGCCACAGCAGATATAAATTATTCGTTGCATAAGTAATATGTATAGAACTTGACTAAGGCCAGGCCTTGGCTGGTTCTCCGCGGTTCTATGGCGGCTCCTGGGTGGCGAATGTTGAACACTTACCCCAACACCAGTGCATTCAAGTATATCATAAAATATTTCGAAATATTTTGCCATTCAACAAAAACAAAGTCGCTTTAGCTCACTTGGGAGAGCGCCAGACTGAAGAAATCAGTATGGGGAAGACTATGCTGCAAACTTCAGTATTGAACGAAATGTTGGTATCTGGAGGTACTGCGTTCGATCCGCAGAAGCGACATTTTTTCTTTATTTTTCGTTTTTCCGGCACTGCTCTGGTCTCTGAGGGTTATATTTGCGCCCTAGTTGGATGTAGCGTGTGTGGTGCGACAGTGAAGGATCTATGTCTACCTCCGTGGCCACTCACGATGGTTGCACGTTCCGGTATTTACCTAGCGTGCAATGAGATTTGACCCGGCCCATGGCTGGGGCTTAACTATCTATCAAGCAAAGAGTCACTTAGACGTAATGCAACAGCTCAGCTATTGCTCGAGAAACCAATAGGACGCCATTTCAGGGAGAATGGGAGTGGTCTATATATATCATACCTGCTTAGCACTTTTCCCAAGAGCTTAGGAAGTGTATATTTTCGGAAAGAAGATTCAGTGAAGGCAAGTATATGATTACACAGACTCCAGAGCTCCGGTCTTCTGTAGGTAATTGTGGGCAATCTGTATGGCCCAATTGAGCCTCCAAGTAAACGTTATACATATCCCATTCATTTCTCACCGACTCTATAGCGAAGGGACAAGCGGTGTTATAGACACCCTTCATCACACAGTGCATACACTCCAGACAACGTCACGAGCACCAATTGGGTGAACCTATGTTTGAACGCGTGTTTCTTATTCAGTACTACATACGAACTGCTGCTCCGGAGCAAATCAGCAGGCGTACCTAGCCACAGCGCTCGTATTAATGCTCGCAGGGGAACTTTTCCTTGTCCACACGCACATGCTATTCATTGAATGCTTCCATCCAAACAGCGCGTCTGGTCCGGCAGGAGTGGTTCGAGCGAGGATGCAGAGTGGGGTTTTTATGTCATCGGACAGGTGTTATGGGTTGGTGATGCTATTGTTTTGAGTTTTGAGGACGAACGGTGGAGAAAGTTAGAAGGATCCGGATTGAGGGCAATGCAAGGATGATGTATGGATGCTGGAATATTCGCCCAAAGGAACGTAATTTTGTCAAGGAGCGCCACGATAGAGGCCGGTTCGTCATCGGCAGGAGGATGCTCTACCCAAAGTGAGACAACCTAGAACAATCCGTAATACCGGTCGAGCCGCTGTTGAAAGCGAGCGGAATTAGCGAATTTGATCCAAAGGTCCCGATATCAGGATGGCTCTCTAGTTCTACACCTCAGAAGAGCGAGACGAACCTCCGTGAGATATGCACCCAGGCGCGATGATATAGCTGAATAGCCTCCACCAGCGTAGCAGTGAAGACGAAAGAGAACAGAACGCAAAATAAGGCAAGAACAAAGACGGCCCACCCCGTCATGTCCGAAAGCTAAGCACCAACGGCGGCGCTTCTACCTCCTCCGCGGGGATCACCAGGAAGTGCCGCTGGGCTTCCGTCGTGATGATGGACGCAGCCTGCTTGATCAAAGCACCCCGGACCCATAGTGGGGTGGGGAGGAGGGAAGTTGTCGTCGTAGTCGTCATCGTAGTATTCGTCTCCCGGATCGAGAGACGCATCGTCGGGGTGCCTGTCGTAGCTGCCAGGTGGAACATTTTGATTGTGCTGAGCGTTGTTCGCATTGTTCTGACCCTTCTTGTTTCCCTTCTTTCCCTTTCGTCCCTTCATGCGGGCCTTTTCCAGGAGCCGTCGCTTCTCCGCAAGCCGCTTCCTTTCTTTCCTGTCCTTCATCTCGTACTTCCTTATCAAAGCCACCGGTGGCACGCCGAATATGGCCTCGTACTCGCAGAACTGGCAAATCCATGGCTGGGCTGGAGGGTTATGGAAGTTTGCATACTGTTGGGCCAACCTGCGCTTGCGTGCGGCATAGGCGTACAATTTCGAAGCGCTGCGGCGTGGCTTTGGCGGCGGAGGGGCAGGTGGTGGCTGCTGGCCAGTAGTCGCGTGCGCACCACCGTTATTCGGGGGAGGAGCCTTGCCTGCCTGCGGATGGGAGGCGCCATTGGGAGGCCCAGTTGCAGGTGCGCCCTGCGGGGGCCTGTCGTAGCCCGCAGTCGGTGTCGTGCGGGTAGCGGCAGTAGGGTGAGCGGGACGCCGTGGTGGAGGACCGTGACGGTCGGAGGGATATGCACCCGGAGGCTGCGGATCTGCGCCGTTTTGGTGGCCAGGCCACACCATCTGGCTAGCAGAATCGGAGCCGCAGGTGAAGGTGAATTGGGTCTTGTTCGCGGTGGGCTTGGAAGCCTCCTGGTGCAGCAGGCTCACGTTCTCATTGCTTTGGGATGGCGGAGTCGCTTGGGCGTTTGCGATGGCGGTCGAGATGATGCCGCTGTTGTCTTGGGGTCCTGGAGAGAAAAGAGGGTCAGTGCACGGACGGTAGAGAAGGCTTGGTTTTGCCGAGGTGGGTTAGGGGACGTACGCTTGTTGCTGTTAGCCTTGACGTGGGCCAGATTCAGATTGGCCGAGTTCGTCTGGCCTAGCACACGCCGCTCCGACCTTCCTGACCCTGAGCGCCCAAATCGCCCTCGCCCCGCGCCTGAGATGCCTGTACCAGATCCGTTGTTCTGTGGAGTCGAGGGTGCCGATGCATAATACCTCCCCGGTCCATCCGTATCGTCAGAGGTGGCTCCGTCATGTCCAGAGATACCCATACTAGCCATTTCCGCAGACAGACTCGAGTGGTGTGCACTGGTGCCCCCCATATTCGGGATCTTGCGCTTCTTTTTGTTGTTTGTGTTCTCAAAAGACTCGTAGCCGTCTGCCGAAGACGTCGTCGACGCCGGCTTTGGATATCCGGTGCCTGTAGCCTTTCCACCCTGCCTTCTGCTATAGGGATCGCTCGGAGACGTGGGCACCGGGCGCCCACGCTCATCCACTTTGTACTCGTCATAGTTCTCGTCTCCGCTCTCGCCGTCCGAGTGGTCCTGCCCGCAGTGACAAGCATGATGATCGCTGTCGCCCCTTCGCACCTCTACGCGCGGGCTGGCCCGGCTTTCCACGGGGGAATATGGGAAGTTGAACAGCGCTGTGGAGGACGGGGGCGCAGGCGGGTAGACGATGGATTTGGCCTGCTCTGGGGACAAGCGCGAGCGCAAGGGTCGCGATGGCAGAGGACGTATCGGCCGGTCGGGGTACATTGGACTTGTGGTATCCGAGTTGGAGCGCAGCGGGGAGGATGCGGAACGGGTCAGGTTGTATCCTGGGGAGAGGGCGAAGGGTGTCAGCAAGCTGATGACAGTGTTGAAGAACCCAAGTGTCGCAACGACGAGAGTGTGAAAGTAGATGGACTTGAGGATGGGGCCCAAATCACGGCACGTACCTGCAGCTGGGCCCGCCATGATCACCAGCAGCCTTCGGGCAGTACCAGATGGACAGTTATTCTTGTTTCCCCCACACCAAAGCTATCACCGTGTTATCCAAAACCGCGTTCAAGCCCAGTTCCTGCTGTTGTTTGTACCCCTGTCCGGATCGGTGGCCTCGTGGATTCGAAGGCGCGGAACAGGCGTCTTGCGGTGGAAACAAGCTTTCCGATGACCTTTACGGCTCCTTGATTGCTTCCAGATGCACCAACGTACTCGTAGAAAACAGAAGGCCGAATGCTGTTCAAATCGATCTGAATGGATGTCAGTCGAAGTCGATAACCCCTCGCCTTTCCTCGGCACTCCCCTGACAGGCACTGCTGTGCGACCAGCCTCGCGATACTAGCAGCCGGCTATCCAACCACGAACCAGCAGCCAGGAGAGTGTGTACGTACAGTATTGTTTGTGAGGGGAGCGGTGGGGGTGGGGGTTGTGGTGACGGTACCTGAAAATGGAGATATGGGCCGTTGTCGCCAAGCCACACGTTGGCAGAATGTAGGCGGAATGATGTGTCCTGCGACGGCACAGGTACGAGCACGACCGCAGCCGCGCAGATGCTCCCGGCGATGGCAGTTGGGTCTAAACGGGGCGTAGGTTGATGAAGGTTGGCTTGGAGAGTCTTCACAGGGGGGGCGTCCCTAGAGTAGAGAGGTTGACAGTAGGGACTTGTTGGTCGCAAGAAGACCGTGCTCAAGAGATGCGCTAATATCAAAACGAGATTGGTAAGAACATTCACCATGTCACCCCCCAATGGCCAACGGCTTGCCACCACCCTTTCCTTCGCTTTCTATACAATGCTTTTTCCAAGTTGCTAACACGTTCGGTATACGCATTGTTCATTCATTCTGTGGGCTAGCGGATTGCTCATTTATACTGTGTAGGAACAGTCCTTGTCCCTTCTCTCCCGGGCCAGCTTCGGAACATTCCGAACGGCCTTGAACGTGCCTCGGATTGGTAATCCTCAAACCAGAATCAGCGAGCTTACTGCATAGGCAATTGGCTGTGACTGTGCATGCGCGAGGGGCGCATGTTGATTACGATTAAGATGGAAAGTTGACTTCTGCACCACTCAACTCATGTCAATAGACGTGTTGATCTCTCTACCCTAGTCCTGCCACGAGGTTTTGAGTGAGACTGGCTTGTTCTCGGTTGGATAACTCCGTCAACATGTCGAGATACCTCTATCCTACGGAGTACGACCGAAAAAGATACTTCTATTTCTTCATGTGTGTACAACCTCTGAGCTCCTCAGGAATCGCACAAGGGAACCGTCTCCGCCCGTTCTCTTGGTGACAATAGCCTGGAAATGCTCCGTTTGGGTCTGCTCTATTCGATCGACACTCAAGGGATCTATGTTATGACCGGTATACCTTCCGCAGCTAATAACAATTCACGGTTTCTCAAAAGGACATTTAATACGGTGTGTAGAACCCCTCCCCAATCGGGGTTCGGGGGAACGTACTGCCGTGCATAGATGATATCATCATCCATTCCAACCCACCTCAACCACATCCAAAGTCCCGCCTGGTCCCACCATGGATCACACTCGAGACCCCTGTCCTTGGGTTGCCCTCAGCGACTTCGGCGGTGCCTTTTGCATGGGCGTACGTGTTTGGGCTCTCATCGCTCTATCCGAGCCCTGAGCTAACCGCTTTCAGGCCATTGGCGGAGCTATATGGCATGGCATCAAGGGGTTCCGGTAAACTCATACCTCGTCTATCCTCAAGAGAGATGTACTCAGAGTATGTCAGTAACTCTCCCCTTGGAGAGCGACGTATAGGTGCGGTAACAGCTATCAAAGCAAGAGCACCAGTACTCGGGGGCAACTTCGGAGTATGGGGGGGCCTGTTCTCTACATTTGATTGCGCTGTCAAGGGGATAAGGTATACTGGCGTTACTGTTCAAGTATTGCAATATCATCTGTTCTCGCGCTAACCGGTGAATCAGGAAGAAGGAAGACCCGTGGAATGCAATCATCGGGGGGTTCATGACAGGTTCGTGTTATCGTTATCGTCACTACTTCAATGTTGCATACTTGCAGCGCATGATCTACATCCGCGATTCATAAGGACCCTCTTCTAGTATCACTAATCCCGCCGCAGGCGGCGCACTCGCCGTTCGAGGAGGTCCCAGAGCAATGCGGAACAACGCAATCGGTTGTGCTGTCCTCCTTGCTGTGATAGAAGGCGTCGGTATCACCATGGGTCGCATGATGGCCGAAAACACGAGGCTCGAAGCACCTCCACCTCCACCTCAGCAGCAAGCTATCGCTGCGTGAAAACTGAGCCGCCATCCAGTCGTACTGGCGGGGACGTCTGCGCCTGACGGCCATGCTCTGAAAAATTTCTTGGGCGTTGATCGGAGTATTGGAACAGAGTTAAGGTTATACTTGTATCCGGCGTTACTTTGGTCGCATAATGATCCTGGATTCAATGACACCACGGTCCTTCCAAACGGTGATACAAGACAGTCACTTCAACATGGATGGGCTGCATCCCGAATGTTTATCCTGAGTGACCATTGCTGATGGATCCTCAAAACGCTGTACTAATTCCAAACTGCGGTGAAAAGACATGTAGTTGTCAGCTACTGTACAGCTTCGGTTTGAACCATGCCAATTACAGCTCTGATTCAGTTTCAAGCCATCTCCTACACTGTCTCCCATCAGCTTTCGATTCTATCCTCCCCCGTCAACCGAGCGAATCGGCCTCTATCTAGAGTCAGGGCGCTCGGAGCTCGTTTTCTGGGCCCCCTTCATACGAGCCAACATTCAACATGGGCGTCTACCACGCCAGCCTTGCGCACACACATGAGCTTACGAGAAAATCGTCGCTGTGCGTTGCTGCGCTCAACAAGCCCAAGGCTCTGCTGGCTAAAAATCGTGCGCCGTACATGCTGGGAAAGACGATGTCGGAATTAGATCTGAGACCTATCCAAGGGCCGTGTGGTTCTGATCCAGTTTACAATGCAACACTTTAAATTGAAGTGGAGGACGGTTGGATATGATCATGCTCTGTTGAGTAACGGGCTGAAGAATCTGTAGTGGAATGTGTGGGGTTTCAAGCAATCGACAGATTTCAGGCATATCAACGAATCTGTGAGTGATGCGCTGAGCGCATACCAGGGTGCAACTGACAGCTAACTTAGTACACCAGATCAACAAGAAGATAAATCCCCTGTCGATTCCGTCGCTTGGTCTTTTCCCGGACGTGGAGGAAGTGCATGAAAGTGACTGGAGCAAACTGAAGCCGGGAGAGGTTGAGTAATTCGTGGTGCTGGAGGTTCAGTGCAAGCCATGATGATGCTAGAATCGGGCATCTCGTTTCACACATACATGCCCCAAGCGATAGTTGGGCTACCCTCCGGCGACTTATACCGCCCTGTCCCCTAGAACTTGGGTGAAGTAGTGTCTGATCCTTCTGTCTTTTCAATAATGGAGTGGCAACTAGGCCTACTAAACGGTGTGGTGGCAGGGCGAAGCAACTGTTGCTCAGGTGCCCTTCAAGATCATTCATCTCCAACACTACGTGTATCCACAAGGGGATTGTGGCCTGAAGTCAGTCGAACGCGTTAACAGGGGTAAAAGAAGCTCTTGACCGCAAATCACCTAGACCTCCAATTGCGCGCGTCCTTTCTCTTTCACTATCAAGTAGGCCAAGGCTGCTGTAAACTTTCGGGCAGCTGTTCGAAGACTCTTACCGCCTTTGCTCTGCCTGCACCTGTGACCCATAAAACTCCCTTGCCCACTGGACAACCGCTTCTACTCGATTCTGCCCCAAACAACAACAACCTACATCCTTTCCCCCTCTACCTGCCGCACGTCGTTCTATCCCCATCCCGTTGGGCCTGCTCGCAGCAGCTCGTCATGAACCAACCAGAGGATGTTGAGGTCATCTTGACCTACGATCGGCGTTACGTTTTCCACTCCAGCGTACTCGCTCGCTGCTCCACCTTCCTCGCGTCGCTGCTCACAGAGCGTACTGCCGCAACGCTGAGCAGCAAGGCACGAAATGCGGGCATCAAGTTGCGGTGGATGCTCGAGCTTACTCAAGCCCCCGATGAGGATCACCCTGCTGGGCAGCTCGAACTAGTGGTAGGTACACTGAGATCTGGAGGGAACAAACATGGTGTATCCGCAGTCGGAGGAACATGTGGCGACTACTTCGCCTACTCTGCCACTGGGCGATGGGGATCTATATTTGCATCAGCAAGACTAACAAACAACCCAGGAATTGGATAATATGGGCGAACCAGTTACCCACGTCTCCGGGCTTGTCATCAACGAAAACGGCCGCATTCCTACCTCGCTCTTCGATAACTACGAGAAAGTCTTCTTCGCCTTTTATAACCGCGAGATCCTCATCTCCGACGACGACATGCCCAGCGCTCTGCGGCAGGCTATTGAACTGATCGACATCGCCGAATACCTAGGCAGCATCCCCGTCATCAGCAAGCCAATCGACGTCGCCCTCATAAAGCATGGTCAAGACCTCTGGCGCTCCATCCAAAAGATGCCTTGGGGCTGGGTCCACCTTGCCATGCGCATCAAGTCCGACCTCATCTTCATCGAATCCGTGATCCACCTCGCCGGCAATTGGCGCAAGATCTCCGCCGACCGCAACGCCATGGAAAACCTCAGCGAGAACTGTCCTGAATCGGTCCGCTTGCTCTGCCAACGTCTCCATAGACAGCTCATCTCCCACGGGAAGCGCCTTGAAGTCGCCCTGGTTACGCTCTACCCCGGTGGCATGAATAGGCCCTCGGAGCAGGTGCCCATCAAGCGCGAACACTACTCCCGTGAAATCCTCGTCTGGATGGCGCTATGCTTCTTCCGCCACTGGCTTGGGCAACGCCTCGTCCTGGGCCACGGCTCTCTCGCGCCAGACTCCGGATATGAGTTATATTCAATGCTTGGCGCAAGCGGGGAAGCTTACATGGACAAGGAGGTAATGCATCAGTTCCACATTGAGTTTCCCATGACGCAGAAGGCGATGAATGTGCTCGAGAACCATTTGCTGGAGATCAAGGACGTGGTGAGGAAGACGGTGGTGGCGCACGGTATCTTGGAGAGTAAGTGCATGTTGGACACGAGAAGGTATCCGGTCGACTATTTGACGTCTGTGGAAGTGAGGAAAGAAGATATCCCGTGGTACGAGAAGAGGGTGCAGGAGGAGACGATTGCGGGCCTGAGAAAGGAGATGCGTCCTCGAAGGAAGGAAGTCGGTAAGCGGAACCAAACTGCTGCAAGCATGCAGGAGCGCATATACGAGCCTGATTCCGAGGAAGATGAGGATGGCTTCGACGAGGGCTTCCTGATAGAGGAAGAGAGGGCCAAACGGGCTCGCCTGGAGTGAGCGACATCTTCCAGGAAGGTTCGAATTGTCCGGAAGGATGGTTTGGGATGCGGTTAGGAAGGTCAAACAGGCAAGCTGCATATGCGAGCGTGAACGGTACGGTTACGGCGTATTAGTGAACACTGGAAAAGGGATGGGTCAAGGGAAAAAGCTTGTATACATAGCCACCATCTGGTATCCTTAGACCATATCTGATATCCACCCTTCAAAATGCGGTGAGCTGTCCACATCATAATGAGCCTTCTTATAGGCCATTGTTTGTTATTGCCCTTCTCATTGTTTCCTCCTTCCAACGTTTCCTCTACTCGTCCTCGAATCCCGCTGGTCTGGGTCTCGGTCCCTTTGGTACTGAAATGCAAGTCAGCTCCTGATCCGCTTTCCCTAAACCTTCTCTTGCCGTCATCCGTCATCATTGTGCCGGAAGGTTGACATACTGGGGTACGTTCGCGGAATTTTTGGTCTTGGGTTGTCGTCGCCAAAGAACCGGCGAATCGGCGGCGCAATGAAGAACATGGCGGGACCCAGGGCACCAATGCAGGAAGCCCAGAAGTAAGCGGGCCTATTGATGGAAGCCCATCTCAAGTAGTGGATGGGTGTCTTCCAAAACTCGGGTTTGGTTGGTGCTGTCGGCATGGCGGGGGCTGAGGTAGTTTGTTAGCGGACGCAAATTGGGCGACCAAGGACTGAGAGATACCTTTTGTGCTGTATTCACTCCCGGAGAAAACTAAACAGACAGCGTAGAGTGCCCAATTGGCCGGAAATGGAGCTGGCGACGCTTGTTGCGGAGAGATGAGGTTGAATGGAGCTTCGACTTCGGTGATGGAGTTTTTCCGCGCCGCCAGATCTTGGCATTGTATACGTCTCCAAATGAGCTTGATGTTAGGAGCTTTGAGATAAACTGCCAATCTTTCCGAGATCAGAGGAAGCTCTGGTCTGAAGGTTTCTTTGATGATGCGGTGGTTCTTTTCGCTGCTTTTTCTGGGGCTGTTAGGCGCGGTGAGGGCGCTGAGCATCGCTGGCTCGAGGCTGTTGGTGGTGCTGGAGGACGCTGCTGAGAGGGAGCAGTACAGTGTGTTTCTGGGGGATTTGGAAGGTGTGTTCATGTTTTTATATGCTCATGAAACTCTATCTACCTCAATTCTTGTTAAAGCGGCGAGTCAGGTGTCAATTGAGTATCCTGACCAGCAGTGTGGCACTTTCAACTTGCACCGTAACTCTATCTCCTCCAGCAATCTCTCAATTGCAGTCAAGCTTCTTCAATACTGACTTGTGGATCACAGGCCGTGGATTTCATATAACCACAGAATCCCCCAAATCCGAATCACTCTCCCTCTTCAAACACGGCGAGCGGGCCTACGATCATGTCGTGCTCTTCCCGGGGAAATCGAAGGGTCTGGGACCAGCTCTTACCGCCAGTCTCCTCCTTGATTTTATGAAGAAGGAAGGAAACATTCTTTTGGCGCTCTCCAGTGAACGTAACATCGCCACGTCTGTCCAATCCCTGCTCCTTGAGCTCGACATTCATGTACCTTCCGACAAGGGCGCACTGGTTGTCGATCATTTCAACTACGATTCTACATCGGCCGCAGATAAGCACGATGTTCTTCTTCTGCCTTTTCCGGATGCTGTTAGACCCGACGTAAAGAACTACTTTGCTGGCAATGGGCTCATCGCGGTTCCCCGCGCCGTTGGCCAGACTCTCGGAAACGAATCTCCCCTCATTGCGCCAATCCTCCGCGCTCCGAGCACCGCATACAGCTACAACCCCAAAGATGAGGCAGATATCGTGGAGGATCCTTTCGCGGTCGGGACTCAGTTGAACCTGGTCTCCGCCATGCAAGCTCACAACTCTGCGCGTTTGACCGTTGTAGGATCCGCTGAGATGCTCCAGAACAAGTGGTTCTCCGAGAAAGCGACCCTCGCTGGCAAGGCTGTGAAGACGGCCAACCGTGACTTTGCCGAGAAGCTATCCCGCTGGACATTCAAGGAGTCCGGGGTGCTCAAGGTCGGCAAACTCGTGCACTATCTGGATGAGGGTGTGAGCAAGAAGATCAACACCTCTGTCGCTATTCCAGAGAATAATCCCAAGATATACAGAATCAAAAGCGATGTGGTATGTGACGTTCTTCCGGTCTGGCTATGGCTTGCTGACGGGTGTAGTCCTTTGCTGTCGAGATCTCGGAGTATGACAAGGACCACTTCGTCCCCTTCGTCCCACCTCGAGGCGATGCTGTACAACTGGAGTTCAGCATGCTGTCGCCGTTCTATCGCCTTAACCTCTCCCCCCTGTCGCAAACCGCGAACTCGACGATATTCGGCACCTCCTTCAAGACTCCTGATCAGCACGGCATATTCAATTTTCGCATCAACTACCGCCGGCCATTCCTTACCAACATCGATGAGAAGCGTCAGGTTACGGTGCGGCACTTCGCACACGATGAGTGGCCGCGCAGCTGGCAGATCAGCGGCGCTTGGGTCTGGATAGCGGGTGTGTGGATCACAGTCGCGGGATGGGTTGCCTTTGTTGCGGTGTGGTTATGGAGCGCACCGGCGGAGAAGAGCGCTAAGAAGACGCAGTGATATATCAATGGTTGAAGGAAACGGCGTCTCGAATTTTGTCATGTATGCTTACGGAGTTGGGATATGGATACCATAGCGCAAATTCAGTTCATGTAGAAATAAGGATAAAAGTGTTCAGGTCCATATGGTCAGTCTAGGTTCACCAGGCCGGATGAGGTATTTACGTGGTTTACACCAATGGCTCCGGGCACGTTTGAACGGCAGGTCGACGATCCTGATATGCTGAGGGTGACCATTAGCCTCCGGGATGTATTCCACGCACATGCATAGCCGGCGTCGCACACTCTTCGTAATATCATATATCATGTACCGTGCAATCGTAAACCGAAGCAGGGCTCTCCAGATATGAACACTCCTACGCCACGCTCATGGTATCTCGAAAGGAAAGCCCTCGAATTCTCCTCCGGCCAAATCTCTCCTCCCCGACAGCCACTATCCTGCGTCCAGGCATGCGCGTCGCATTGTGTACCGGCTATACATTGTAGCTATCACCGCGCAACCCCATCATCCGGATTGAAGCAATCCTCGAAGCTCTTCCCATGCTTATTCGTCGCGTGATCGCCCAGCATCTTGCGGTTCGTGGTGCTCTGGAAGGATTGGAAGCAGGTCTTGCACTTGATCGTAAGCGCGGCGGCATTCTGTTCATGAACGTCAGTGATTTTGCTGTCTCCCGACCAGAAGATGTAACGATGAAGTGGAATGTCAAAGACATACGGATTTCAGTTGCGACTTGGCCTCGCTTTTGCCGCCTTTTGCCGCGGCACGCTCGCGTTTCTGCTGTGCTCTACAAGAAAAGAACAGGTTAGTTTGTCGCAACTGGCGAAGTCTTGAGCGGAATCGTTGTCGTACTTGGCTCCGTTTCCCATGGCGAAAAGATTGTTCAGTTGAACCAGGCCCGAGACCTTGGAGAGAGAAATAGCGAGAGACTGGGTTCGGGTTCCGTTGTTTTGCGTGGTTTTACAGTATCATAATATGACAGGACGTTGGATGGCGGCCGGGGGCCTGGACACTTTGGAAATCGATGCTAGCCTCTTTTGTGACAGAAGTCACGTGAATTGTTGCTACTCAAATGCAAGTCGGATAGAGATGGTTCTTACGACACCGCGGACGCTTCTGCTGTTGAATTCATTCCCAGCTCCTCTGTGGCCCATTGTTTGTTTGGCGCGGTCCATACTATTATTATCACTACACTTTTGAGGGCCTTGGGGGAACCGCAAGCCCGCTAAGCAGTCAGTCCACTCGACGCCTCGGACAATCTCGCCATCAGGAGCTGAAGCTAATAATAAATACTGCAAGCCCCCTAACTCACCAAACCGGTTCCGATGATCCAGAGCATGGCGATCATAATGTTAGAATACTGCTGAAAACAACTGATATCATACGGTACCCAAGTATCATTGTGTGCTGGCTTGGCATTTTCTGCTTCCTCAACTTCGTTCCACTTCAAGGATCTCTGGCTACGACCTGCCACTTTCTGCTTGTTCTGCTGCGCATGCACAGGGACCCGTAATCTGCGTACCTCGGTAGGGGTAATGCCATGCAGCTCGTTCTTTGATCTTCGTCGCCAGGGCGATGCTTTTACCACAGTAGATGCGGGCGGGATGTTTCGACCCTTTCAGCTTTTCAAAACACCATCTTCAATACTAATAATGAATCTCCACAACGCCGCCTCCAGAGCATGGAAGCGGTCCCACCAGTACTGCGCGGAACCCCCGCAAGGCGAAAACATCACCTGGATGCGAACTGCTATCTTTGAGGGGTCGCCGCCTTTGCCCTGGAGAACTTCACCCCATCCCCCACTCGCCGGATCTCTACCTGCCATTCTTTTCCTTCAGATCTTGTCCTTCGTTTTAGGCTTTGTATGTCATTTCTTGTATTCATGCAATTTGATTCGCTTGTGTAATTTCGTGTCCTCGGACGATCTGTTTTCAACACAGGATGACTTCGACCGCCGAAAGGAGTCTCGACGGCGTTCCACTACTGACCGCAACTTCCGATGGAAGCATGCACACTATCATGGAGAGGATAAAGCAAGGTCTGGAATACTTTGTTGGTCTAACATCAATCCCAGAATCTGACTCGATTTAGCAAAACAAAGTGGAATCCGTCGCTGGCTGACCGGAATACCATTTCGGCCTTCACTGGGCGTGCTACGACCATCGTTCCTCGACAGAAGTACGGACGCGAAACCACTTCACACTACAGCGTGGCTGGACGGCATCCGCGGCGTCGCATCATTCTTCGTCTTCATCTATCATTTCCAGCACCTTTTCCACACCTCCTTCTACACCGGCTACGGCGGCAACAATGGCAAGAATGACTACTGGCTCATCCAGCTCCCGATTATCCGACTGATATTTACGGGGGGACCTATGGTGTCGGTCTTCTGGGTACTCTCCGAGATTTCGCTTTCCCTCAAGCCGCTCAAGCTTGCGCGCAGCCAGGCATGGGACAAGTTCGCCGATACGATGTTCTCCTCCGTGTTCAGACGGGGCCTTAGACTTTATCTTCCCGTTCTGGCAGTACAGGTGTGCGTGTTGCTGGCCACATTGGTTGGCTTGTTCGATCGTGCTGCCGAGCTGCGCAAGAACTGGCCGTTCTATGGCACCAATGAAGAGATGCACGAGCGCAAGGAATCTGCCTGGGCGCAGATCTCAGACTGGAGTCGTGAGATGTGGGCGTTTTCAAACTCCTTTAGACCGATTCGGCCAAGCTACGATGTACATCTGTGGACCATCCAGCTCGAGTTCCGGAATTCCATCATCCTCTTTGCTACCTTGGTCGGATTCGCAAAACTCCGGCCACTCGTTCGCATTCGGTTGACGTTGGTATTATACCTTTACTGCGTCTTAGTCGAAGAAGGAGACGTCGCATTATTCATCGCTGGAATAGGATGCGCAGAGTTCCTGTTAATTCGGGAGGAGCGGTCAAAGCATCTTCCTTCTACAGAGAAGCAGGAGTCACAGCAGCAGAGTTCGCGAACAAAAGTACTCTGGGCAGCCGTGTACATCCTCGGACTTCATCTTCTATCGATCCCGGCTGGAAGATACGAATACACCCCCGGTTATCGGAGTCTTGTCCGTTTCGCCGCGCACTTCGTCAAGAACACTGAAGTCTCCATTCAACGCATCGGAGCAGCCGTCTTCCTCTTCGCCCTCTGTGGATCCGACTATCTCCGCCGAGTCTTTGAAACCCGCCTTGCCATCTACGCCGGCAAGATCAGCTTCCCTTTGTATATTGTGCACGGCCCGCTCACACATATCCTTGGTATCCGACTCGTGCCCTTCTTCTGGAGTATCGTGGGAGATGCGACATTGTTCCAGTACGAAGTCGGCGTCATTTTGGCTTTCCTTGTTCTTGCTGTGCTTGTGGTGTGGGTTGCGGATATTGTGATGCGGACGATTGATACCCCTAGTGTGCGGTTCGGGAGGACATTACGGAGCTGGTGTGTTGGCAAGTCGTAAAGTTCTCGCCCCGTTCTCTTCGTTTGTTTCAATCAGGATCAGCAACAGTGTACATTTCGACGTTACGAGGTGTTCGTCATTGGTCTAGTGTAAGTGCTCCTCGCATAGTGGCATTCCATGTAATTCTCATCCAGGAAGCGCTAGAGAGATCCCGAATTGTGCTCAAGGAGCAAGACATCCACATTTGCCCACACATATGGGCCGCACAAGCAGCTTGTCAAGTACAAAGACACTTTCATCCCCCGCCTGTCAACCCTTATCCTGCACTGCTGCAATGGCAAGGGAGACGGCACTCTGACGTCCTGGTATAGCGACAAGTGGAATGGTCTCCACCCAGTTGCGTTGGAGCTGAAATTCACCTGATCGCCCGAAAATTACAAGGACTGGTGATTCGACGAGCCTGATGCAGTGGATGCCGGGCCGGAAGTGGACGTTTTGTTGGGGTGGCTCGTCCCTCTGCAAGAGGAAAGCCTGGGAGCGTAATTCGGAACTTTTCCAGTGTATCATCGCTACTTATGCGATGGTTCACATCTGCTGCAGTCAGCATGTGAATTTTGCATGACAGCTATGCAGTACAATTCCTTTTTGAAGTCATCAGAGAAAGAATGAACTGTCCTATCCTGACTCAGATTGTCCTACTCACAACATCACTATCGCCGCTGTTGTTCCGGGCACGGACTGTCCTTTGACGTCAGCGAGTGGAGGTAAGGGCCACATGGCACCGCAGATCTTGGTTCAAAACTTGAAGTGCTAAGCAATCCTTGACTAAGGTCGGCGCCACTCTTCATATATACAATTCTTACTCGATACTCGGTACTGCCTCCCTATGGCTACGATCACCAAGTCATTGTGATTTGAGCTTTGAAAAATAGAACTCAGAAATCTTCTAAGAAAATGCAGACGAGTTATGACGACCTTCACGCATCGTGAACAAGGTAGAGGGAGAAAACAACCTGTATACAATCCATCTGCAGGAGCATCCCAACGGAGTGCCACTTTTCTGTCACTTGAAAGTCATATCCGTTAGTCTGCGCTCTTATCCGCATTTTTGGCCCTGTGCTGCTCTTTGGACCACCTGTACGCCCTGTATTCCCACTGCGACGAACTCTGTGACCACAGAGCTGTCCTGACGCAGCGCATATGGCTACACTGCTTTTCGTGGTAGTCAACGCACAATGAGCGGTCGATGCCTTGACTCTTTGCTGGAGGTGTATATAACGCCCCTCATCAAACCCGCCTTCCACCCCCTTTCAACGAGATCTTCAGAACGATATCTTTTATCGGCCTCCTTCGAAGAGAAGAACAACACTCGCGAGCTGTTGCACAGATTCACACCATAGATCTCCTTTTGGTTCTAGAGGAAACACTGTGATTGGACTCTCCACGAATCTACTTCCCAAGCACCCCACCGCCCAACCAAAACACCACGACGAAATGTCCCCGAAGAACACTGCCAAATCAACTGGCCAGAGTTCCAGTAAGGAAAAGGCCCGTGCCGGCCGAATCACTAGGTCATACTTGCACATAGATGAATCGAGAGCTTAGGTGCGAGCTCCCAATCTTGGGGGATGAGAACAAGCGCAAGGCGTTGTTCGACGAGTTCGGGACTGTGTGTATTAGGATCCAAAACTCCGCAACCAAATCCAGACTTGAAGTCGACATTCTTGTCCCGAATACTGTTATTTGCGGCGAGACTCCTCTCAGTGAACAAACTCCCGTCCACGTACGGTTCCACGGGGGTGGCTTCTTTACTGGAGCTCCTTTATATAAGCCGTGGTGGGGATATCACGTTCGTGACCTCTTTCTGGACGCTGGAGCAGTGACCTTGAGCCCGAGATATCGCAAGATGCCCGATGTCCACGGTAAAGAGATACTGGAAGATGTCGACACGTTCTGGGCCTGGTATCAGGGTGACGAATTCTCGAAAGACCTTAGCAATGCCTTCATTGATTTAGGAGCACAGAAGTTTAACTGCATGGTGCAAATCAACAAGTCTCAATTGCTCATATCGGGCGAAAGCGCTGGAGGATTCCTGGCCGCATACTCCTGGTTGCCTCAACCCAGCCTTCAAATCAACGCACTGTACATGCAATACCCCATGCTTTGTCAGTACACGCGTAATGCTGGGAACCCATATAGAGGGAGAGCAATATCGAAAGAAGACGTGCAAAAACTGGCCAAGAAACACTTACGGGACATCGAGAAGTTAGAGAAAGCGGGCCAGCTGCAGTCCCGCACTGCCTCAGACCCTCCAGAGGGGATGGATATGGCGTATGTTTTTTCCTCCGCTAAGAAGACGGTCAACGGCAAGCGGATTTCACCCTGGGAGTACTGGTTTCGCGAACTGGACATTCTTCAGCGTCTCGATCGCATCGCCGCAAACGATACACGATATCCTCGTCCATCTTACTGCCCTGACACATTCATATCGCATGGAGATCAAGACACGAATTGCCCTTTGAAAGACACGTCGAAGCCGTATCAGGAGAAAGTGCTCCGAATGTTTCCGAATGCGAAAGTCCACATCGAAGTACGAGCAGATGCAGCTCATGCATTTGACTACGATATTGACATCAAGGACAAGGGCACCGAGTGGCTTTTGGCCTTGTATGAGAATATCAAAGAGGCTTGGCTCAAGCCTGCCGGGGAGTAGTGCGGGTTATGATATTCGTTGGAACAATTTGGATTATCAGACCTCTGGCTATCCTGCAGCTTTGCCTGATGCTTTGGAGTGTAGGATTAAGAGGGGCACCCGATAGTGATTGCCGGATTAGCCGTGAACTGCTAGGACTGTAGCTCAATCCATCTAGGTGTTTCCTACATGCACAATCCAATTCACACTTGACTCCGTGCGATAAGAAGAAAGTAACTATAACCTTAAAAAGACGTTCATCTTGTTTAGAGTCTTCTGGACATAAGGAAAGGTAATTAGCAGGGTAGACAAGGGGTTCCGCAATTACTTAACCAGCCCTGATGCAAGAGGCCTATTGTTTTGCATGGTGAACATCACATTTTAGTTGGCATGCAATCAGCCGGGATAGTGTGGACGAAATTTGACAGAGGGTGCAAGCCAAGCACATGGGAAGTAATAAACAAGGCGATTCCGCTTTTGTTACAAGTCCAGAAATACTGTTGAGTGGAGCAGTCGTAGATGTTCGCTACCTGTATTTTCTAACGCCCAGAGGCACGCCTGTCCGGTTCAAGGGTTCATCCGCCTACGAAGCATGCGACAGTGGGAATGTATTGAATCTTCGCTTCCCTCCCTCTGAATAGATGACCATCCAGTGGAGTTGTTTTCCCTGTCGTCCGATCCAAACCGGTAAAGTCTAGGAGGATGTGGACTGTTACCATTGCTTCGTCTGCGACATAGGTTCTAGTTGTCATAGGGACATGTTCTGGAAGACAGCCAATGTCAATTCCCCCGACCAGTTCAAGCAACACCTTCGAGATAAGCATAATCTGGTTCTTGCAGGGTTCAGCGTATGCATCTGCGGCACCCTTCCATTGGAGATTCCCTCTGACTCAGGCTCGGACTACTCGCAGTCATCAAGATAGCGCCTTCAAGGCTCGTTGTCATTTGCGTGTATATGACTTAAGAATAAGGAGCGACCGGCTAGGTACAAGGAGAAGCTTCGGCGCCATGTAAGAGTACCTGTACCCTTCCGCAAATTAGTAGCAATGTCCATTGCGCTGCATTTCATAGGCAAGAAACGAAACCTAAGGTGCATAACCGTTTCCAAAACGATAGGTTACTGAATGGGACGATTTCAAAGTTGATTGTCGATTCTCAGATGTAAACTATAAAAGAATGATGGATATGCAAAACAGTTCGACGTTGAGATGGTCTGAGGACGCAATGTGCCAGTGACCGGTAGACTATCCTCACTCCACCTGCACGTTGTCAACCCTTAGGAACTCGCAACGGACATGACCATGAAGGCTTGGATGGCCCTCCGCCTATCAATCTCTTTCTTGAGCATCAACAAACACGTAGCTACGACCACCTCTTCACTCACGCCCTCTTTCGAGCCCACTTCCTCTGACAGCAAAAGCTCACCACCATTTCCAGCAGTACAAGCCTTGGTGCCTGGAGTCCTTGTTTCGCTGTCTCTTCTCAGAACAGCCAAGCGTTTTTCACCACAGGTCAACACCAACGACGTGACCTTCTTCGCATCTCCAGCAAATAATCTCTCTTTCACATATTTCCAGGTGAATTCGCGACCGTCGGGTAAGAGGAACGTATGGGAGCGAGACGTCCATCGAGATACCGTCTTGGTGTCTGCAATCTCAACACTATTTTCATCCAGTATGTGGATCACCGGATCTCTGTTTGGGCCGAAGAAGTATTCCGTCGCAAGCGCTGGTCGTCCGTGCGAATCGGACAACAGAGAATTGCCCGAGCATCTGTTCGCGCGAGTTGATCGGTAGGCCAGAGAACCGTCCGAATTGAATATATCAATCGTCAGTTGAGACGACGGCGTGGGAAGGCGGATGGCCGAGATGCCCTTTGCCGAAACGGTGAGAGATTTGGCTGCTTTAAATCCATGACCTGGGTCGTTGAGGGTGGTGTCTGAGGCGATGGAGTGGGCATCTGAGCTGATGAGCTCTTTCTTGTCTTTCTCCGATATGCTCGCTAGGTAATCTGGTGGTGCATCTGAATCATATTCTTCCACGAGAGTAGTGGTGCTCACTCGGGACTCCATTGCTGTTCCAGAGGGTTGCTATAGGTTCCAAAGGATGAAGATATCTTGCCCGCTGAAGCTTCTTAGAGTAGTGCATTTATATGCAGGTGCTGCGCCACCGTGACCGGTGAGCTCGTGCAACTTGAGGTGATGTTTCGAATCTGGGCGACCTGGCGAGGCAGCTTCAGTGAGGCTGTGCCAGGTAGCCGGTGGCGAAGAAAAGCCTCGGATTTCGCATATCTATCCGCAATCGACACGTTCCACATTGAGGTGATCCGATACTGTGGTTGCTGCCATACCTTACGAGGTCAGTAGAACAGAGACTGTTGGCCGGCCAATTTTCTTATGTCCGCCCTCTAATTGGTGCGCCAGTCTCAGGCACAGCCACGAGACCCAAAACATATGGCAGCAACCCTAGCATATGCAGTAGTAATTGAGGATTACAGCAAAGCATCGACTGAATAACTATACATACTGTGATAGTAACACTGGCATTCCGGCCTTCGGACATGACTAGTATCTTGTTCTCCGATCTTCTTCTGGAATCATTCGACAACCCTCCAGGTACTGAGGCATCAGAGGCGAATGTACTTCGCACACCATGCGACCACAGTACAAGGAGTTTTGGGAGACCTTGACGTAGCACTTTGATTTTATTTTACTCGCAGATATATCGTGGCTGCGACTGTGGTAGCCGCTGCATAACGAGAGTACGAAGTGGGAAACTTTCTGCTATACTAACCAATGCTCGATATGCCCGGTTTTTGAAATTCAAAGGCTGCAATGTAGTCGTCGGAGCGTGGGTAGTTCTGCGGGGACGCAGTTGCGGCTTCCGAGAATGGAGTCCTCCACTCACCGCTCCACTTAGGGCAATGGCAAACGCAGCTCGCCGGTCATTTTTCTTTTACCGCCGCAAACCCTACCTCACTTCACACCTAAGCCTCAATAAGATATTACAACTTACCTCACTCGACACTTGACCCTTATTCTAGCTTGCCTTCTGCTTCCACCAAACATGGCGCAACAGAGCACGGCGTCTCCAGCGAGAGATGCAGAGGCAACAAACACTGAGGGCATTGCCCTGGGTGGTCAGGAAACAAGAGCGAGCAGCCCACAGGTCAAGAAAGTCGCAATAGTATCAGCACTGCGCGAGGCGGTTGAGCCATGTCTGCCGTCGAAACCCACCACAGGAGTTCGGAAACGACGCCGCTCTGTACTTCCGGAGCATACTTGCGCTATGTGTCCTGGAGAGGGCAGCATCAAATGCGGTAAATGTGAGTTAGTGAGGTATTGCTCCGAGGAATGCCAGGAGAACGATGCACAAGTCCATACAATGCTTTGCGAATCTTTAGCCTCGTTTGAAACCCCACCGAGCGAGTCGCACCGGCGAGCGATCGTATTTGACGAGAATCCGGAAAATGCGACAGCACGCTTCATATGGCTAAGGGTCCATCGCAATGTGGATGAAGACGGTAGTGAATATGACCAGCCTAATTTGGGGGAGTTCTTGAAAAGCAAGGATGGAAGGGTTCGGAGCACTATCACGAAGAATCATGTCTTGTGGCGTCCTCTGAGCCACTCTATCCACATTGAGCACTACCTGCCAAATGCGCATGGTTGGGATGAGAATAGTGCCGTATCTAAAGTTGTTGACTGTCGATACACACCACGAAATACCTGGATTAGCACCATCCTGGTCTATGCAACAGAGCCAAACTCAAGGGAGCTCCCAAAAATCCAACACTTGGGTCCACAAGACTTCAGGTCTATTGTGGATTTCCTGAACACAAGCAAGAGTTGCGCACTGGCTTCCGACATTCGATACTTCGGAAAGACTGTTCAAGGAGTAAGACTCAACTGCAAGGGGGACATGGCGGAACCGGCTGCTCGCCCTGCCATCGAAGCAGTGCAGGTCCCGCTGACACACTGTCTCTTCGATGACTCGGTGCTTCTTCCTATCCCGTCCAAGTTGGACCTCCCAATTCTGGCTGCACGGTGCCTTCGCAAACCCGAATATGAAAAGGACATTGAGCTGTATAAAGGTGCCGGAGCGCTGAGCGTAATAAATGAGAATGACTTCAACCCTATTGCTCGTGACCTTTAGCAATCCTGGCTCCTTGAAAGGGACGAACGCCGCGCAACGACTTCCATCCTCCCCCTAGATCACCATTCCAGGAGAGCATACTATCAAGGGACTCTCGTACTGGCACGCCAGGATCAGAAACCTCTCTTTCCTGAACACATCGAAGCTCTATGGCGGTACGTTAAGTATTTCCTAGAGCCCATGATGGCGGATGCATCAAGCATCCACGCCGACGAGGATGCCAGAGAAAATGTCCAAAAAGAGATAACGACTGAAAAATTCCAACTGTACTATCGGCATTTTCAAACCTTCCAAGACACCGAGGACGAAAGGAAGAAACCTTCGCCGTACGATGTTGTAAGAAAGAAGGGGAGTCTGAAACGGAAAAGCTCGGGATCCTTCTTCAACGATCCAAAGCGTGCCAAGTGGTCGTGGAGTAGCGAAACAGAAGATGCAGAACCAATGGAGGAAGAGGAGTTGTAGACGGATCGTCAACAGACCAAGGTCTCCCGTGTAAGTGTGCTGGTATTGTGACTCCTCCGATAATCTTTCGATGATGGTATTGGATGAAAGGATGAAAGCCCGAGAAATGTATGAATGAGACTAACTAAATGAAGTACCTGTACTATTGATATTGAGCGAAAGCAGGTTGAGTAGGAAGGACAGTGAAGTGGTGGGAGCCAAAGTTCATGGTAGTACTTTCTTCAGTACTTCCACCAAACCTCGGATCTCTTGCTCAGTGTTGTAATGCACCATGCTCACTCTCGCAACCCCTTCCTCTGGCAGACCAAGTACTTCGTCGCATAATCTCTTGCTATAAAAGTGACCAAATCGGAACCCATAGTTGCTAATCTTCTCCGCATCCTCGACGATCTGCTTACTGCTCTTCCCCTTGACAGTAAAACTCACGGTTGGAACCCTAACCCGCTCATCTACGGAGCTGCTCCCGTGGACAGTCACATCACTTCGACTGTTCAAGAAGTCGAGAAGGATCTTCTGGAGAGCGCCTTCATGCGCAGCAATGGCTTCAAATGCTGGCGCAGGGTTGGGGCCTCCAAGATAAGATACAATGTGTGGCAAAGCTTGCACAGCCTCGTAGGATGACCCGGCAAAACCCAGCTTGTCAGAGAGGCCATTCGTTGGGTTGAAGTAATGGTTCTGCGGCTTCACATGGACTTGCGCAGAGGTGCTCGCATAAAGCAACGCAATGTGGGGACCATATACCTGTGAATCATGAGCACTACCACCGTTATGGCGACGGCAATGAGATAATCTTACCTTATACCACGAGAAAGCATAGAAATCTGCACCGAAGGCCTTCACATCTACCTGTCTGTGCGGCGCATAGCTGACCCCATCTACACAAAAAAGAGCGCCAACCTCATGGACGACATCCGCAAGTGCCCTGATATCGTGGATAGTACCGAGGATGTTGCTGACATGCGTACACGCGACGAACTTTGTCTTCTCAGATAGCAAAGGCTTAAGATTCGCTGGTGTGAGCTTGAGTTCAGGCTTCGGCGAAACCCACCACTTGACGTTCAGTTTGAGGCGGTCGGCCATATGCAGCCATGGTTTCACGTTCGTTTCATGCTCCATTTTGGAGAGTACAATCTCGTCGCCTTCACAAAATCTGAGTGCGCCGGCGAGGTTCATGAAGTTTTGCGTGGTCGAAGATCCGAGGACTGCATATTGTCAGGGGGAATCTTGATAGTCAACACAGGAATGGAAGTACCAATCTCATCTGGAGAGGCATTGATGTATTGCGCTGCAGCTTTGTAGCCCTCGGTATACTTGGTATTTGAGATCTGGCCGATGTGGTACGATGCACCAAGCTGAACGTTGGTCTTGGAGAAATAGTCTGTCACCCTGGAGTGATTTGAGCAGATGTCGCTAGCACGACCAAGCAGATGGATCTTAGTTGACTGACGAATCGATAACAGTTCCCAATACTTGACTTCCACCAGCATTGTCAAGGAAGACTTGATCTTGATCGAGAGCGGGGAAGAGCGCGCGAACTCTTTTGATATCAAACTCGGTCATCTTGGGTTCGGTATATTTGATGAGGTGGTGATCATACAAACATCGGCTTATATACCCACTGCTTGCAAAGCGGAGTACAGTGATAGCTGGCCGCACTGCAGGGTTTGCGGAGGGATGACCAGGCCTGAAGAGGAAGGTGGGAAGAATGAGTGTGACGAATATAAATCATGTACGCCCAACCCCACGCAGAGATATGTGCTATATGTGTTCAACATGACTTCCGTTCATGCATCTGAACCGTAGGATACCCTGAATCGTGATGAAAAATGGTTAATGACGGCGAGCGGGACTAACACCATTGAAAACTTTCGAAATCTGGACTGGACTTGATTGTGCCACTGTGAATTTAATGCCGTGACCAGTCTACGTGGATTACGTGGAGAGGCTAGCCCAAAAGCTATATGCGTCGATGGACACACAAGCTAACCATCTAAGGCCCTACTGGGGCTGCATGGTGAATGACTTCACCCTGATCTCCCCTCCGAGGGATTTTGTTGCATGATTGAACACACCATATCTGTATCCAGTGAAGAACTGCCAGGTCTTCGTTAAAGTAAATGCGGGGCCCAGTTGGGTGTACTTGCTACCATCCGTACTGTACCAAAAGGTGGCAGTCCGTTGAGCATTCGTACCGGAAAATGCTGGCGTAATATCGGCTTGGATCCGGAGCCATAAGTCGGTGGTTCCGGAAGGAAGGGTCGGGCCTGTGGCCGCAACTGTGCCTGTCGAAACTGTCTTCCAATTCGAATCTAAGTTCAGATTGTTGACCATGACCAGCTTGGAGGATGAGCCTTCTTTGTGTATTCCAATGTAGGCCGCTACGTCGCGGAAAAGAACAGTGCCTGCTCGATCTCCGTCTTTCATCTGACTGATATCGATCCTGAAGGTCCCGCTCGACTTGGGGCCGATGATACGATGTGTAAGAGTGTTGCGAGCAGTGAACAGGTCGTTGGTAACAGTTGCAGTTTGCAAAAGAAGACCCCCAGAACCGCCGACTAGTTTCCATTTCGAGTTGTCCGGGTTGTGATTCCATTCCCACTCGGGACTCAGAACTGCGCCTTCGAAGTTGTCTGTCCCCACGACGGGAGGCACCTTTTTTGTTGTCTCCACTGGCATAGGGTACGACTTGCCCCACGAGTTCCCGTCCTTTACAAGTTGTGGCCATCCGTCGGACGACCAAGTCAGTGGTGCAACAACGGGAATGCGACCGCCGGGATATGCATCCATGAATCCTACGTAGTACCATTTTCCATCTTTGGTGTCGACAACTCCACCTTGGTGGGCGAATCCAGCATTGGGGATGGGTCCAGCGATGCTGTCAACCAAAATCCTACTTTCGAACGGTCCCCAGGGACTTTTCGATTTCAGTACCCATTCAGCGCTGGCTGGTTTGGTAACGAAGATGTAGTAGTCGCCTTTGATCTTGTACATGCGTGAACCCTCAATATACGAGTTGTCTTGAGCCGCAAATACCTGCTGTGACTTCACCTCTTTTGTTCCATCCGCACTTAGTTGGGCAACCATGATCTTCGAGTTGCCGTATGCGATGTACATCGTATCATCATCGTCAATCAGGAGACCGCAATCGTAGTAACACCTTGGCAAAGTCCCTTGGGCTGTCCAATTCCAATTGGCCACTTCTCCGTTGTTCCGGGCGGCTCCGGTGTTGCTGGCTATCCAGACGAATGTTTTGCTGGACTCGACGCATCCCATCCAGTAGAACATGTCATTTGACTTCCGGTACTGTAATGTGCTTGCCCAGATGCCCTTGACATAAGCTCTATCCGTGGCGCTGTTCAGGTTGTATTTGCTTCCGAAGTTTAGCGTTGGAACGCTGTGTGTCACTGGGCTCCAGTAGACAAGATCATACGACTTGAGGACTGGCGCGCCTGGCGAGAAAGCAAACGTTGAAGATGAGTAATAGAACACGTCACCGACGCGGATGACATCAACGTCCGGATAGTCTTCCCATAGGACCGGATTATTGAAATTGCTGGCTCGGGCGGTGAAGGTATTGCTCAAAGGGTTGGAAACGCCCAAGCCAACATGGAGGCTGAGCAGGGTTAGAATATTGAGAATGCGCATGTCGGTATATGCGAAATAAAATCGTTTTCAACGCACGAGCTGCGCTTCCGAGAATGCAGAGTGTTACTTCAGAAATGGAGAATGCATGGTAGCGCTGCTTTTAACTTGAACCCGCTGATGGCTGATTGTAGCGTCAGTTAGGTGATTGAGTTCTTGGACAACCATTTTGCGTGAACTCTAAACCAGTTCCGAGGCAGATCAATGTCGGCGGGAAAAGAATGCTCCATATTGTTATCCAGGGACCGCTTCGATGATTGGTGCAGGATGACGGAAAATTTCGCCGTTTGCAAGTAAAAAGGAGAGGGGACTACCGCCGGGACTCTTGACCGGTAAACAAAGATAGTCGCTTTCGCGACAGCTAAGCAACCTCCTCTGGCTACCTGATTAGCAATGTCCGTCATCCCGTCCTGGCGGGTGAAGAAAATATCACGTGACACCACGAATTTCCGCTGGGCGCATTCGAATTGCCAGGACGTACCGGATCGATCTCCAACTTCCAGCTTCCCGTTGCACTGCGATGTCTCCCCTTAGGTCGAAACTGCAATGCCGACTGTCTTTGTAGAAGGAAACAGGAAGTCTAGTGTTACATACTCCGACAGTCTATCTAGACCAAGTTCCACGCCGCGCCAGTGAGCTTTCACCAAGGCTCCCGTCCTATCTTAGTAGCCTGTCTCCATTTTTAATTAACGTACCTCACGGGCGAGCTGATCACTATGCCAAGATCCCACCAAAATGTATAACGTACCTCACGGGCGAGCCGTCCACACGGGCGAGCCGTCCACTTCTGCCAAGATCCTACCAAAATCCATACTGTTTACGACAGTACAATACA